GAAAAAAAAAATCAATAGGCCTACTGAGTTCAACCAGGAATATACTAATGTTAGTTATTTGTGTCTGCATGTTCCGTTACCCACCGTGTAGTCTATTATTCAGCTCAGTTCAGTGATATGCAAACGTTGTTTTAATATATTTTTTTACAACATGTGCTGAGATATTAGCCTAGACCAGTTCTTTTTTTCCGCATAAGCCATATTATGGGGGCAGGGGCGTCGTTTCAGGTTTTTTTCAGGGGGGGGGGGGGCAAAATTCAAATTTCAGGTTTTTTTCAGGGGGGGGGGGGCAAAAATCAAAACTTTGTCGGCTTGTAAGTTGTTTATTACTGGAGGCGCCACAGTACATAGCAATTTAACTAAAACATGCACATTCAGGAAGGGGGTGGGTGGGTGGCAAATGCCCCACCCTGCCCTACTCAAATGACGTCCCTGGCCCCAGGGGTCCACATTGATCCGTATTTCTACCAACTGGCGACCAGGAAAGATTTGCAGAAAAAACGAGGAATATTTCTCTATAGAAGATAGCAGTTTAAAACAAAATAAAAATTAATTAACTAGGTAAAAGCCCGACCGAAAAATGGCGCCTAAATGGCGTAAAAATTCGCATCTACTAAAGTTACTTGACAAAACGTGTATTCAAGTAACGCACTTTATAAGAATCCCAGTTAGTGCACCCCAATGTGTGCTACCGCCCCTGAGCTATATTAATATTCAAATGTCCTAACCCCTTTTTACGCCGCAGATTGGTAACATCATACATACGTTGAGACTATTTCCGGTCAACCAAAAGAAAATATTACGCACCAACATTTTCCACGCTGTGGAACTCACCACTGCCCGCAATACATTCCTTCACACAGAGACACAGAGGGGCTACACTGCGGTGGAGCAGTCAGGGTAAATGTCACCCGGGGTGGATCGAACTTTTTGCCGCCCAAGTCCCCAAAAATACCCCTCCAAGTGGCCGAAAGTGCTGCTCCTCAATATAAGGAAAAGAGTGCCTCACGGAGCGGACCACCCCCCCCCTTCCACGTCCACACACCCCCCCCCCGTCTCCTACGCCACGGCCACAGAGGTAAATAAGATGTTTATGTGGGCCTGGAGCTTAAAGGGGTGGAGAATCCCTGACCTAGACAATATTGCGGACCCCCCCCCCCCTTCCCCGTCCACACACCCCCCCCCCCGTCTCCTACGCCACGGCCACAGAGGTAAATAAGATGTTTATGTGGGCCTGGAGCTTAAAGGGGTGGAGAATCCCTGACCTAGACAATATGTAGTGAAAACAGACAGAATAGATTAATAGTGTTTGGGATACGTGCGGGGCGTACAGAGAGTCTGATCTGGACATTTATATGACTCATTCGGAGTTACCTTTTATCAATATTCACCCTCCTGGCACGCAAACGGTTTATCAGTTTCTCGTGATTGATAGGGGACGTTTGTTGACCGAGTAGACGGAGGCAGATTGTGAGGCTTCTATTCAATGGTGGTTTGGACAAGTGGCTCGAGATAGTTGTTGACCGAGTATGCGGAGGCAGATCGTGAGGCTTCTATTCAATGGTGGTTTGGGCAAGTGGCTCTAGACATTTGCTGACCGAGTGCGCAGAGGCAGATCGTGAGGCTTCTATTCAATGGTGGTTTGGGGGAAGTGGCTCTAGATATTTGTTGACCGAGTGCGCAGAGGCAGATCGTGAGGCTTCCATTCAATGGTGGTTTGGGGGAAGTGGCTCTAGATATTTGTTGACCGAGTGCGCAGAGGCAGATCGTGAGGCTTCTATTCAATGGTGGTTTGGGCAAGTGGCTCTAGACATTTGTTGACCGAGTGCGCGGAGGCAGATCGTGAGGCTTCTATTCAATGGTGGTTTTGGGGAAGTGGCTCTAGATATTTGTTGACCGAGTGCGCAGAGGCAGATTGTGAGGCTTCTCTTCAATGGTGGTTTGGGTAAGTGGCTCTAGACATTTGTTGACCAAGTGCGCGGAGGCAGATCGTGAGGCTTCTATTCAATGGTGGTTTGGGCAAGTGGCTCTAGACATTTGTTGACCGATTGCACAGAGGCAGATCGTGAGGCTTCTATTCAATGGTGGTTTGGGCAAGTTGCTCTAGACTCAGTGGGTGGTATAATAATAATAAATTTTATTTGAAAAACACGCTTCATCCCCAAAGGCTCGAAGCACGGTACAAAGTCAACCGTGTTTAAAAATCTATAATTTACCACATTTAAAACAAACGCAACACTACAAAAACTAATTACAAGCAAACCAAGTCAAAGTCTTTCTACCCATTTCAACCACAAGCAACACAGCCAATATGCATTAACTGGAAAATGTGGTAGACAACATCATCCCAGGTGTTTGCGAAATAGATGTGTCTTTAAATCGGTTTTAAAGGACTCCACTGTCTGGTTGTTTCTGAGAGCGACAGGAAGGGCGTTCCAAATTGTATTAGGGGCGGGACACAGAAAACATTTAAAGTTTCACCCCCTTGTTGATTTTCCGGAAACAAAAATTGAAGTCGATGTGAAAATGTCTGCTCTCTGCCATTCCCTTCCTTTAGGTAAATGTTTTCATTTTCTCCTGGACTTCCACAGGCGTGTTTAGAGACCTATGACCTTCCACTGGCGTATTTAGAGACATATGACTTTCCATTCTTGTTCCCCTCTATCTTTGTTGCCAATGATTAAGTTAAGAAATATATGCCGTTGAAAAAAAAAATTGTTGTCAGGTTTCTATAGATACAATGATCTGATCCTTATTTTTACTTTTTTCCTTTCACACCCCCCCCCTTTTTTTTCCCCTTCTCTATGTCTCTTCACCCTCCCCCCCCGCTGTCTGTCTTTCTGTCTCAAACTGTAAAATAAATATACGAAGCAATACAAAATGTCAAATATCCGTACAATAATGTTTCTATGACAATAGTCACATCCAGTCACTATGTCATATGCCATATGTTCAAGTTCTTGTACATATTATATTAAAACGCTATTTTATTAGTTATAGGCCTCCCGTACCGTTGCGAACCGACTGAAATCCCTTACTGGCACTGCAGACGACTTCTTTAATGAAATCTTTGGTTTCAAAAAAATAATTAAGGTCTACAGCAGGGGTCGGCAACCTACGGCACGCGTTCCACACTCGGCACGCATAACAAATTTCATTGACTTCTTTAATAAAATCTTTGGTTTCAAAAAAATAATTAAAGTCTACAGCAGGGGTCGGCAACCTACGGCACGCGTTCCACACTCGGCACGCATAGCAAATTTCATTGACACCTGGAGGACCAAAATTTAAAAAAAAAAAATAGATAAATGACTAAAATAATGCTTTTTAAATTTTAGACTTTTAAGCTATCGGCACGTTGAATGAATTAGAAGTCTTACTTTGGCAAGCTGGTACCAAAAGTTTTCCGAAGCTATACTCTAGGCTCTAGGTCAGGCCTGCACAACATACGGCCGGGTGGCGGCCCGCCAGCTCCAATTGGCGGCCCACGAAGTAATGAAATATTCTTTATCGTTATTATTTTCCACGTTTTTCATAAAGTATTACGGCGCGCTTTACATTTTGAGTTGTGCAGGCCAGCAGCTCTAGGTAATTGTCATTGACATTGGAAGGAGGGCGTGGAGGGAGGCAGTCCGCCCTAGGCATTATTTTTTTCTGTATGTGTAGGGGCGGCAATTTCGGTGAGCTGCGAGGTTGTTGTTGTTTCGTAGAGGGGGCGGCAAAAATCTTAATCTTCCCATGGCGGCATTAACCCCATCTACGCTACTGTCTAAAAATTAATAAAAAATAATAAATAGTATGAAAGAGAATTTTAACATATTGTTAATTGGCATCTTCGTACCAAATTTTAAATCGAATGACAAAAAGGCTAATTGATCCTCAGTTATTTGTAAAACTTCAGCAAAAATGTTATCAAGTCTTGAACAACTAATACAATTAATGTTTAATTCATGAACATCCAAAACTTGATACAAATTTAGGTACACCTAGTTTATAAATGTTGATTTATGCTGCTTGGGCGCCCGCACCCCGACACACACACACACAAAAGACACCCCCCATAACATCAATAATTTTCAATAAAAAAATTGAGCCTCTTTTGGACTCGGTGAATAAATGAGCAATCCTTATATCTTCTATACATTAAAAAACACATGATGTTTTAAACAAAGGTTTTTAAAAATTGTTTTCTGGTTAATTTATTTAAAATTGAATAACCAAACTATTCGTTATAGGTATAATTATGTACTCTTCTTGAAAAAAAATAGCAATCATACATTAATTAATGTATTTTAATCATAGCCATTAATTATTCTAAATAACAAAATTTAATTTAACAAAGTTATAGTCGATGTTGATTCTTAATTTTACTCATTAAGAAAGAAAAAACCAAAATCTTCACGGGTAACATATTTTGTTTCTTCTTAATTTTACTTACTGAAATAATTTTAATTAGATAAAAATTTGCAGTACAGACTATCTCTTGGCGTTCCTTGTAAACCTTTATAAACAAACACAACTGATGTATCGGCTTAAAACCTTACTAAACTTACCGAAAAGACAAAAGGCAAGGATTGCAGGACCCAAACGATGGCCTAGCTCGAAAGAAGTTGGCTTCAAAATTGAGAGGTAAGTAGGAAATTCAATTAAAAGATCTTCAATATTTTACATTTTATGCATCCTAAACTATTATTATTATTTTATATTATATTGAAATGGGTAGAAAGACTTTGACATTGTATGCTTGTAATTAGTTTTTGTAGTGTTGCGTTTGTTTTAAATGTGGTAAATTATCGATTTTTTTTTCTTGTACCGCGCTTCGAGCCTTTGGGGATGAAGCGTGCTTTTGAAATACACTTTAGTATTATTATTATTATTATTTCCCGGGGCCTGAAGTATCTCAGGGTCCATGGACATAATAGAAAGCGGGGAGAATATACATTTCACTTAAAATGCCTTTGTGCATTTTATTTGTTACCTCCCATGAGCAATGTCTACGCGTCAGATCACATGATCAATGAAAGCGGAAGACATTTTGTCGGCTTGGAAAACAGGCCGTATCAAAATATTGTTTGGAGGCCAGAGGATTTTATCCTGTAATTTTTGTGATGCAGTACTTATCTTAAGCTGTTAATATGGCACTTAAGAAAGTTAAAGGGACTCTTGAGCGAGTTCTTGATAAAAACTTGCAAGATCTTGTGAGAGGCATACGGAATCACAAGGAAAATGAGGTTAATATGAATGAATACATTTTTAAGTAGTCTTCATCCTATTATCGACAATAGGTTTCTTGTCTTACAGAAGACATGATTTTAACTTAGGCTACAGGTGACGCCCCCGAATTAGGAAAGTGAAAAGGGGTGATACATATTTAAATTCCTGTGATTATTCATAGCAAAGTACCGGGAGAATACCTATTATTTAAAACAATGAACTGGTTAATTTTTATATTTTTAGAAAACAAACTTAACAGAGAAAAGAACTTAACTAAAAAAAAAAAAAAGTTGATATTTTTGCCTACAAAATCTAATAAATAGTTCAAAGATTAGCCTACTAATGCTAATACTTAATTGCCTCTAACCTTCCAACCCCCAGTGCATGATACCCTCTCATAATAGCCCTTGCAACCAGTGAAATATCCTCATCAACACCAGGCACAGAAACATAGTATAGGAGCCAAAATGATCAATAAATTGATCGTGGGCCCTTCATTCTTAATATATACAGATGACTTAGAAGAAGAAGAATTACTAGATTAGATAGCCTACCACTACTGCTAGTATATATTAGTATTGCTTTATCTAAAAAAAACTTGTGTAGTAAACTAAGTAAGTAACTTGATATGACATGATCATGAACTAAATCGACTAAATGAAAATGATATGCAAGTACTAGTGACTAGTGTATGACTAACTTAGGGCTTAGGGAGTATGAAAAATGATTATCATTGAATTGCATAGCCTATATAATGAATTGAATATAATCCATTTGATACTACCAGTAGACATTTACATTACATTTATACTAACCTTGGTAGTTAAGTTATTATAGTTATATTATATTATTGTAGTAAGTTAGTCCTACTAAACTTTACTAGTACTTAGTTTAGTCTATGACTGGAATACTTAAGTAGTAATGAGGCCTATGTACTAGGACTAGTAAGCCTAAATTATAATAGCATGCTAATAAACCAAGGCTATAACTAGGCCTACTTCTAGGCCTAAGTGGTAAGTACTACTTATTGTACTACACAAATTAACAATTACTTAAATTTAAGTTTAACCTTTATTGTCTATTGAAACTCATAAAAAATGTGTGGTGATAAATGGATGGTTGGGAAACTGATCTCTAACTTTCTATGTCCCCTTAAAAGTGAGTAAAAATGTGTAGGCACTAATTATACTGTTTACACTGTTGTTAGCAGTGACTGATACATAGACACGGGTATAGTTATGCAAATACTACTTTTTTTAGGCATAATTTATTTCATAAAAATGATTTTGATGGTGCATCTTTCTTCATCCTTGTCCATGTTAGGTTTATAGCTGCATTTATTTTTCTAACTTTTTTCAAAATAACATATTCATTCAATTTCCTCTGTTTAAGAACTAACTACACCAGGTGATTATTCTAATACTAATACTGGCAAATATCATATTGTTCTTTAAAAAAATGCAAAATGATAACAAATATAAAAAAATTGTTAAGTTAGTATAAGTGGATTAATGGTTAGAAGATAATACAAATTTGAAACCAATGTAGATTAGGGGCGTAGTAAATAAAATTATATTTAGAATGAAATATTTATATCTTTGAGTTACGCAAAATAAGAGGAATTAGCCTCTAAGCTAATTTTTTTTATCACCGAAGACAGAATAGTTAAGACTTGGGCTTTTTAAAAACATTCTTATGAGCAAACATAAATTTTTAAATTTCTTGCTGCCATCAAGTATGGAGTATGGTCAATATGAATTAAACTTTGAATAGACCTTTCCAGGGCTTCCTACATTGCAAAAAAACTCTGTACAATAGAATTTATATTTTGTAACGTGGACTAAACATCTTTATTTGTGTTTAACTCTTTGTTACATCATTGTGCAACACCAAGAAGAATGTAATATTCTGCTTGTACTACAGTTTGAGATTTTTATTTGACGTTGGGTACGTGCCAGATAAGACCATGCATTTGATTTGTTTTATCTGTTTTAAGAATTTTAAGGATTTAAGCTATGAGACAAAACGTTAGACAATTTTATTATTATACTTCACTGTCTCAATTTTTAAATGATTTAATATTATTATTAATATTTTTAATACTATTTTTTGCAGAGCAAATATATTGCAGAATGCATTGATGAAATAAAGCAGGAACTAAAGCAGGAGAATTTAGCAATAAAAGCCAATGCTGTCAATAAACTTACTTATGTAAGTTACTATTTATTTTAATATGTAGATAAACATATTTTCAAATAAATGTTCAACTATTAAGTTATTATAATTGTAAATAAGTGTTTTTCTAACAAGGTATTTAGAATATTTGTATTACTCATTAAAGTTTTAATGAAGAGTTTTTTTGACCGCATATTTTACTTATTTTTATTATCTGCTTCTTATTTAATCTTTAGTACTGATTTTGCTCAACTAATATTTTATGTCTCTTACTCTTAGCTTCAAATGTTGGGATATGACATAAGCTGGGCAGCCTTCAATGTAATTGAGGTTATGAGCTCAACAAAGTTTACTTTTAAGGTAAAACACAGAAGAGTCTATGTTATAATTTAATCTGTTACAATTGGAGAGTATTGGCAGGTATATAATTGTTATACGCAGCAGAATATATACAAGTATTTAGTTGCTTTTTTTTTTACTTCATAACAGAGTACCCTATGGCTCTGTACTAAGTATTTTATGGGAGTGAGCTCATTTCATTTTGTTTTTACTGCATGTTTTTAAGGGAGATTAAGTTTTATTAAATATAATGTAGTCAGAGGGATGATTCATTTATACCTCTATTAGATATTCAAAATTAACATGAAAATTTTACTTTAAAATATTAGTTTTACAAATATTTTTTTTATAATCGTATAAATTCCTTTTACCGTTTTTTTTGTCCTGACTGTTAACAGCGGATAGGATATTTGGCTGCAGCGCAATCATTCCATGAAGGTACTGATGTCCTTATGCTTACGACTAACATGATCAGAAAAGTAAGAAACTTTAAATTTTGTTTCTAAAATTTCTGTACCGAAACGTTCTTGGATGTAATTTTTTAATGTGAATTTTTTTTTTTTTTTTTTGGTGAAACAAAATGTGAATTTATGTTAGCAAGTGTCAAGCTTACTCTGCCCATGCTAACTCTACTTTTTGGTTCAATAAGGTTTTTAAACAATTTCAATTATTACATATTGTGCTGAATTTTTACTAGTTCTTTTTATTTAATGATTTCAAGAAACCTTATTGGTTGTTTAAACTCACTATGTCTTCTTAATGTTCCTTCTCTGTTTAAAACAGCTCTTGATGTTCATAGGAGATTTATTACTCAATTATAAGACAGCAGATTTTATTTTAAATACAAAACTTAATTCTTCTACTTTTGTTTTTATTACATAAGGAATTGGTAAGTTGCTCAAATGGGACTGTGGTGATTCATTTGTCAGCATCTCTAACAATCAGGTTTCTTGGAAACTTGTTAATACACATTCCAAGCATGCCAACTAAGCCAGTAGCATGTCTTTCTAATGGCAATTTTCTTAAAATAAAACAATTTTTTTAATACCATCAGAAGCTTATTTTATTATTTTTTTTTTACAAATCAGAGTTAAATAAATGAATGTTTATATTTGAAGTATATAAATTATTTTCTCAGTGTATTTATGTTTAATTTGTAGCAAGTTTCGACACAATTAATTGATCTAGGGGCAATATGATTTATTAGAGGTGGGAGCAAAATATCAAAATGGCTTAATGATAGGGTTCTGTAGTTTAAATAAAGACAGCAATTACAAATTATTGATAAATAAAAACAAATTTGTACTTAGCAATTAGAAGAAACAAGAAGACAGGTGAGCCATCTTTAGTGGTTATCCACTTTTGGCTTTTAACTTTAAGATGGTAATGGAACATTCTTTTAAATGTAGATCGGTCTAGGCTGTAATTACTTTGCCCTTCCATCTTTTTTATGAATATTCTTAATTTTAAAAAGTCATTCTAATTAAATATAGGCTAAATCATATTTATTACATCCTGTTGTAAAATTGCCTATTTCATGAAATTGACAGAAACATGTCCAGTTCATGAAGTGGACAGCAATAAAAACTGCCCATTCCATGAACTGTCCTGTTGAAAGAATAAGGATATTTCTGTATTTAAGATTGTTACTATTTTAGATGCTGTTATTTACTTAAATTGAATGTCACGGCAAATAATTGTAAATTGTTATTTAATTACATGCTTCAAATTTGGTTTATGATCTATTAAATTTTTAGAACTTACTTACATTATATATTATTAATTTAAGGTGTCATTTGTTTTCTATTTGTTATCCAATGATGGGAGTCATGGAAAAACTTTCATAGTTAAAATGTGTTTTTTTGCTTTCAATTTTGCCCAATAATTTTCCTTGTTTGCTGAGATATAGACTTAGGATATAGTAATAGTTTTTCCAGCATTGTCTGCCAAATTTTTAATCTTTTTTTTCAAGGTTCTTTTTGAAAAGTGTCCACAAAGTCTTCCTTGCTTTCCCTTCTTCTTGTACATTTTGAGGGCCCACCATCAATGTATTGATCATTCTGGTTCCTATTTTTGTAGAGGGGGTTTGTGTTTCTATGCATGGTTTTGAAGAGGATACTTCACTGGTTGCAAGAGCTACTCGGCGATGATATTAGCAACTTGGGGGTTGGAAGGCAGGAGGCAATCGACGTAAATGTGTCAAGTGTTGTCGCCTCAACTGTTCCCATTGGAAGCTTGTTCCAGTCCCTGATTGTCTTTTGCAGGAATGAGCAGTTCATTTACTGCGTTCTTGCTATTATGAGCCAGAACTGCCTGTCATGGCCCCGACACTGTATAGTGGGGGAGAGGCACGAGTTTCTGTTTAATGCTTGAGCAGTGGACCAGCCAATTTTTTTATCTTGAACATCATGGCGGGACTGGATAATCATCACCCTTCCTTCAATGGTTACCAGCCGTGTTTCCAGCATGCTGCCAGCACTTGAGGTGTTCCTGTTGCGGTTCAAGACAAAGCATGCTGCCAATTGCTGGACCGCCTCCAACCTGTCTATGCTCTACTGGGTGAATGGTTCCAGACTGAAGATGGATCCTTAAATTTCGCCTTAGGAACCCTCAGGCCTTATTTTCCTGGTGGCAAAAATTGTAAATGTGCTCGTCCCAGGGACCTCTCTTTGAATGGTAACACAGAGGAAACTGTCTCAAGAATATGGCCATGCAGTTCGTAAGGGTGGTGTAGAGGGGTTCTTCTTCTGGAGACTAACAAGGTCTGGCACTGGGCAGGATAAAAATCCATGTCCCAGCTGATCTCCCACTCGGCTAACCAATGGAGGTCCTGTTGTAGCTGGTACTGGTCAGTACTATTGTTGATCGTCCTGTACACCGCTGTGTCATCTGTGAACAGGCTTGCTTGGGAGTTCAACTTCTTGTGCAGATCATTGGTGTATGCTAAGAACAAACAGGGGCCTAGTACAGGGGGGGGGGGGGGGGGACAACGACACCCTGACTTAACATTGACAAAGGAGGAGCTTGTGCTGTCTACCACTATGGCCTGGCATCAGTACCAATGAAAAACCTGTTTGCTGTTACGATTTCGGTGTACAATGTGTGATTTTGAGATGTCTTTTACGAGTAGTAACTAAAAAGTACATCTTCGGTTGTTAGTTTTAACTAGCATTAGCATTCTACATTCAGCAGTGAATGGATCCAGAAGTACGATTGGTTTGGGACCATCTATAATTATATTACATTTGCCCTTAGGGGGAAATGGAATGGTGTTGATTTAGGAGATTTTGTGTAATAGTGGGGGAAGGGGGTCTAAATATTTAAGAATATAAAATTAACTTGCCACATTTTTGTATGATAGTTGTGGGGGGGGGGGGTCTCGGCTAAGAATATGAAAGTTATTATGAAATTCTACAATATTGATCCAAAAATAGCAATTTATGGCATTTTTTTGTAGGAATTATTACCATGTATTTTCACAAATGAACTTGCTATATACACTCAGATAGAAGTCAGTAGTAGAGGTATTGCCGCAATATATAGTCCAACTTATGTTCAACATGCATGTGACATATATTTTGTTGGGCTACGCCAGTGGTTCTAAAAAATTTTGTTTCCCAGTGCCTATGCCAAATTATGTGTTCACCATGCTCCATGTGTTAAATTGTAACAAGTACATGTCCAAATAGCGCATACATAGAAAAATGTACACCCCCTTGGCAGACCAATAAAAGGACTATTGTTAGCGCCCCTTTTCTTTCTAAGTAAATGTGATTTTATAGTTTAATTCACTATTATGGTCCTTTCTAAAGCATTTTGGCGCCTGTTGCTCTTCATCCCATTCTCATGGCCCTGCCCGGGCTTTATGACGTAATTTTGTGACAATTATTTCTTATGGCTGAACTGCGACTGGCAAGTGCTGAAATGGAGAAAACTAGAGAATGCATTCTCAACAATTCCGCACAGCAATATTAGATATTGTCAAATTTTATAGGATCTGAGAGGGCCTTTGAAATCTATTTTAGATCACGCTTAACAGCTGTATTATAAGAGTGTTGGAATACGATAAAGCTTTAAAGTGGATTAATTAGACACAAACAATTTGTGTAAATAAAACAATATATGTTAGCTTTAAAGATTATACAAAATACAAATGTGGATGTTTCGGCAAGTGCCTTCATCAGTACAGTTTTAAAAAATCCGACAAAAAACATTTATACGAGTATTAATTAAATTTACATAATATATATATATATATAAATGTATCCTACCTAAAAATAGAGAGAAAAGAAAAAGAGTTTGTGTTTAATTGTTTAAAACCGCTGCATGATTTTTAATACCCCCTCTTCCTTTCACCCATTTACAGCTTGTGGTAGTTATCAGACTGTAATATGTTAACGGGAAATAGGCATAATGGATAATGATTCTTATTTATTTTAATAAAGCATATTTTCCTAAAAAATAAATCTCAAGTTACCTGGTAGGATTTATGATTAAATGATGCCCTAATTTGTTAATTAATTATTATCTCAATAAATTTATTTTATGCTGATCTGACTTCGAGTTTGAACCACATTAAATTTCACCAGTAACTTTATTTTACCAGTGACAGACTGGGCTAATGTGACCTGCATGTTCACCTAAATATTAATTGAGATCTATAGCAGATGCTCACCTGCAAAACAAAGTGATAGCAATATAATAATCAGTCATCTACATTTGAAAGTTACCTTTTTTGACACAAGCTTAACTGGATTCCACTAGACACCCAATGCGAGTAGTTATTAAATACATTATATATACAGTATGTTTATTTATTTACTATCAAGGTATTTTATTGTACGATTTTGAGATGATGTACGATTTTTGGAGTTCAAGGGTAAACAGATTTGCCATGATCTTTAAAAGTTTTTTTGTTGGAAAATATTTAATGTCTGGGCGGTTATTCTTTGTGACAACTCAAAGTCTGTGAGGCTTAAATAGCATGATGAAGTGGGGATGATAAAGCTGAAACTTAGGTCCCCAAGTTAAATTTTGATTCCTGATTTTAAAAAAAAAACTTTTTGCATGAATTTTGAAGATTGTTTAAGTTAAAGGCCTGCTTCAGATAAATAAAAGGCATAAGGAGATCCAATGTACACATTCTCACTGTCATTTATGAAATTTTTCTTTGTCTAAGTGTTTCAGGTTGTTTTTTTAGCAGTACTTGGTAACTTAGCATTATTACTAGGGCAAAGATTTTTATCATTAAATAAAATAACGTATTTTGGAAATGATCATTATAAAATAGGGGACGATGGGGGGAAAAAAACGTAGCTGCAAATGTGTAGTAGAAATTCTTTTTATAATACAAGGAGAAGAAAAATGAGAAGGAGAATAAAAAAATCAAAACAAGGAATTTCCTTATGTTAAAGTTTACTTCAAATGTTCCATGTCAGTGATGAGACAGAAGGATATAGCTCAAGATGAGCTGAATATGAACACCATTTAAATATAACTTGATTGAATAAAGGGTTAAGAGGATACAGTGAAAATGAATTATTTCACTAATGACACCACACACACATTATTGACATACTATTATTGTTATTTGATATATCAACAGTGCATTTTGATGTGACTATAATTTAATGAAGTGTATTGCAAAATTTCGCTTATTCATGACATGGGCAATTTTGTTTTTCGGGTGTGTCATCTTTATTAAAATTGAAACAAAAATATGTTAAACTCATGGAGAGGTGACTTTAATGTTATACTTTTATGAAATAAATATCTTTTGAGATACTTGATAACATTGCCCCAATAATTGCTAGGCATAGAAACAAGGTGTGTTGTTGGTCAGGGTTCTGACATTCCGATAATGTATAGTACCAAATGATGTTTTTTTCCACAAATGGCTCTTCAGTTAAACATAGACACAGATAAATTCTTTTCTTCTGTTACTTAGCAGAATATCACATACACAAGACATTTTACATTTTTGTGTCATTTGAACATTTTATTTTTAAACTTCTTTGATATGTAATTTCTTTGTCAATTCATTTTAAAAGTTGCCTGCTAAAATGTTATGTATTCCCCTTTTGCACACATTTTAATTACTTTAATACCTTGTTTTTAATTACATTATATTAAGATTCACTATGCTATATTTTTCTCTGCCCTATGATTTAATATCAAACTCTTTTTTTAGCCCACCATAATTGTTTTTCCCTCTTCATTTGTAAATAAAATAGTCCAGCCCTTTTATAACATTCGACTGTTTAAAACAAGTAAATTTAGATATTAATTTATTGTTACTAAAAAGATTTGCACTGTCTTTGTATCCAATATCTGGGCATGTTAAATAGATTGACGTTGATTTAATCTATTTAAAGCAATCAAATTTTTCCACCTTAACACAGGTTCTTAATTACAAAAGTAAATGACCTATTTTCCCTGCTTCACTTGTTTACTAACATAAAGTTATCTGTTGCTTTGATTATGAGATTGTTATTATGAGATAGCATGATGACTGTGTTAATTGCTGTATGCCTAGTGTCAGCACCAGACTGTATTGCCTGGTCTGGGTTCAGAACAAGATAACTGTGTAATACTTAGCTTATAGCTTTGCACTTCATTCACTTTTATAAAAAAAAAAAAAAATTCGTAAGCCCAAATAAGAACACATTAAAAGTTAAAAATCCAAGAAGCATTGTAAAAAATATCATTAAATTATGGTGTAGAAAGATATAAATAATAATCAAGACTTAAAAACAATGAAACGTCCACTTCTATCTTGGGACACTTCTTCTACGGTAGAGACACTGATGCAATTTTAAATACAATTTTTGAGCTTTTGGGCTGATTTTAACAATAAGAATGAGTTTTTGAAAACTTGCAGGTCTATTCATCATGAAACCCTTGGTATTGGGATTTAGCACCAATTTTTAAAAGATACTTTCCATTATCATTTTAAATAAAATTTTATTTATTAAGAAAGCAAATTTAGCATCCCATCACAAAATTCCTGCTTAACATGAATAATTAAATAGAAAAAAACAACTGAAAAAACAATTCATAAATTAAGTCTTTTAAAATGATTTTTATCTATTAAAATTTTTCTTAAATAGCTATTTGATTTTTAGTTAATAATTTGTTTACAAATTTTCTTATCAAATGTAAAAATTTTAGTTTTGTTGGCTTTCTTTTTCTCCAGGATATGAGTAGCCAAAACATGTATGATTCTGGTGTTGCTCTTAATGGCCTGTCATGTTTTATCACCCCTGATCTTGCCAGAGACTTGGCAAATGACATTATGACCCTGGTGAGCAGAGAAGAATAGTTTAAGAGTGGTTTTGTCTAAATTATGCACATTCACAAGTTCTTTTCATGTTACCCCTAGAGGACTTGAAGGCTAAATTGTCTTTTAAAAGAAAGGTAGTTCTATATGTGATAAAATTCATTTTGATACAAGTTTGTTTTTTTATAAAAAATCTGTTATATCCTTAAAGTTATCATGTCTAATTTGATTTTCAGATGACCTCTTCCAGACCCTATCTTAGAAAGAAAGCTGTCCTGATTATGTATAAAGTGTTCTTGAAGTTCCCAGAAGCTTTGCGCCCCGCATTTCCAAGACTGAAAGAAAAATTGGAAGATCCAGATCCAGGTAAATGTCTCAGTAGTAGTATACAGTCTTAAGTTTAACTGCGGCACATTTGTACACATAAACCTTAGATTCATGAAAAGTTCTTCTAATGCCAATGGAGCTCCATGTTGTATCATGTGTTCACTTGTTTAATGCTTGAAAAACAATTGTATTATTTTATAATTTAACTTAATTTCTTGAATTCCCCAGTTGTTTGTAGCAAGTAATTATATTAGAAAAAAACTTTTTGTGACTTTTTATTTCTTTCTTTTAGAAAATTTTTCTGCTCCACACTAATTTTTGTTTAAAAAAATTGTATTAATAAAAAATTATTGTATTACTTCAGGAGTGCAGTCAGCAGCTGTTAATGTTATCTGTGAATTAGCCCGTAAAAACCCACAGAACTATCTGTCCTTGGCACCACTCTTCTTTAAACTAATGACCACATCCACTAACAACTGGGTTCTTATCAAAATCATAAAGCTGGTGAGATTTTGTCTATTTTTTTATCGTGGTCTTTATTAATCATAACTGTAAACTTATTTATGTTGGTTTGACATTTTAGATACATTCAGAAAAGTCATAAGAAAGACTGCATTATTTAAATAGCAATACATATGATGGAGTAAGATTGTGAGTTAAAATGACATTATATTTTCATGAAAGCTATTCATTGCACCAACGGTTTTGTTAAAAATATAACTCAGTTATTTTCTTTACATGCAGTTCAGTGCATTAACACCATTAGAGCCTCGGTTAGGAAAGAAACTCATAGAGCCACTGACAAACCTCATTCATAGGTAAGCTAGAATTGATTATATTTTTTATCTTTTATAATTATCTTTCACTTTAACCTGTATTTTTTTTTTTAAACTCTTCATAACTCTTTTATAAAGAGCAGCTATTTATATGCGCAAGCAAGTTATTTTAGCTCATAAAATTTTGTATTATTTATTTTTTAAAGTATGCTACATTTATTTCATCGTACAATTTGTTGAAAAATATATTTTTAACAAAAATTAAAAGATTTTTTAATAATTTTGATTTTTTTGCGAGTTTACGATTCACGTAACATGCCAAAGCGGGAGTCGCCATCTTAGGAAAATTTGTGCAAGACGCTTTTTGACTCCGCAGCACAAAATCTTGAATAATGAATATTACTGATGAAAATATCAATCACCTTTTAACTGAATCTTCCGGGAAAGGTAATTGGGAACCTGAATCAAGTGATTCTGATTCAGATTATGAGTAGAATCTTCTTTTGCAGCTAATTATAGTTGTCTACACTAGAAGGTTAGTAATCGAGTGTTTCGTCATTCTAAATGTTTAAATTTTTGTTTTTAAGCATACTGAAATATTTATTAGCCATTTTTAACGGAATGGACGTAAATAAAATAATTTTATATGTTTATATTTTATTACATAGATAATTTGAGAAGTCATTTTTAGAAAATGTTGTTAAAGAATTTAAACGATACAATTGGCACTGCTTATTATGATATGAAATTTGACATCTATGTCATGTGTGTTGTAAAAATTTAATTCTTTGACGTTAAATTTTATAGTCAAATGGTTTTTAGACAGCATTGAAAATATTAAAAACTGGAAATTTAAGTAAATTACATATTTTATCATTTCATCCTTAAAAGTAGCATATAGGTCTATAATAGTTTTTCTTTTACATTCACAGGGTAAACTCATATAATGTTCAAGTTGATGACCCACCAGATCCCACACCTATGTTTCTCCGAGCCAGCAAGCCAGGCTTACATCTGAGGGAAGAAATGTCAACATGAATACAGTGAGCCAGTTTCGTCATCCTAAAGGTTTTATAGATATTTTTTCACGCTGGATTTGGTTGAAACATTTTTATAATAAACCAGCTATTCAACTACCATGGGACCTTCTAAACCTTCTATCAACAGAGGTTGGTTGATATTTCAACAGATATCAGATGAATTTTACAAATTTCTAGGACCACTAATGTGCATGGCAACTGTACAGGTCCCCAGTGTACAAAAATACTCATCAACTTCAACAATCTTTCATTTTTACCATGACTTTTCGGCTAATGCCTTATTCCCAAAAACAGATTTATTCAAATTATGACATCCTTCAAAGTTTCTAATACTGAAACAAAATAAGGAAAAACAGTCCAAAGTGAATTGGTTGTCTGGCTTTAGCAGAAGAAATTGAAAAAAACAACAAAGCAGTGTGATGCGCGGTGGATAAGAGTTAATGTTCAGTGAAGAGAAAATAAAACAGTCTCACTTATTTCAAATAATATGTAAGCAAATGTTTTTTTTGTTGGTTTTTTGTGAGTGAACAGAACCAAAACTGATGGTGTATTTAGGCAATTATTGGTGAGAAAACAAATATTGTCAAATAATATTTTATCATACAATTCATTCATGTGTAGTGTTGATCGGATATGTCACCCCAAGTAAAGAGAAAAGCACCGGAGAAACCATTTTTTCCATTTTGTTGATATTGCCATCAATAATCTCTTCAGGATTGTTCATAAGAACATTTTTATAGAGATGAACTAAAGCTACCTAACATTTAACTCTCAATTGACTTCACTGAGGAAATTATTTGAGCATTAGATGATTTACTAAAGCTGATGATGTTCCAAGTGCCTCAAATGTAAATAACACAAAATAGAATATAATACATCCAATAGTTCATAAATGCACGGATTTAAAAAGACATTCTACAGAGTGATATAAAGTAGGAACACAAAGAAAAAAAAAATACAAAAACAAAAATAGAAAATTTGAAAATTAAATTTTAAAAAAAAAAAAAAAAAAAAGAATTTGAGTACTTGTACCATAAAGTTTAAATTTTTTAGTATATTTTGAAATGTATAAATAATTTTTAAAAAGGTAAAATAATAATAACCTGTAATTTTTGTGAATACTTTCTGTAGCTGTAGTGAATTTAAATTTTTTATTATTGAAACATTTTACAAAATATTTTATATTTTGGTCAGATGCTCATGAAATCTTCGAAATTATACTTATGACATACAAAAATGAATTTTCTTACTGAATAAACATATTTTATTAAATAATTTCAGGTGGTTTGTTGTTTTCCTTCTTTGCATCTGATCAACAATTTTTTTATTTTTTTTTACACATTTTCATTAAAAATTTAAGAACAAGTTTTTGACTCTTATGTAAGGTCACTGGAAATCTCAAGAAAATCAAGAAAAATTCAAGGAATGTAAAAATTTACACACACAAATAATGCTAGATTAAATTTTTTTAAAATAAAAAATTACTATACTGTTTTGTTTTTGCTTCAAGATAATTGAAAGTTTCAAATTGCAATTTTTTCATTTTGCTTAATATTTATAATTTAACCTCTCATATCCTACATTCTAGCACTTCAGCAATGTCCCTTCTCTATGAATGCATCAACACGGTTATAGCGGGTAAGATCATACATTTAGCATTTAAAAAAATACAATAATACAATGAATACAGCCATGTTTCAGAATAAAAATTTAATGGGGAAACAGCATGTTTATTCCAAGTGTAAACATGTTTCTTCCATTAAAACATGAGATGTTAGATTTAAAGTAAAGCCTTTGAGTTTGGGTTTAATCATTGCATTCAAACTCAATGATCTCTTTACTTTATAATCATGAAGTTATGCATTATGTTTTATGATTGCAACAAATAGAATGTAATGTTTAGGTGTCGAAGCTGTATTTAATTTTAGTTTTTTTAAAGAAATATTAATTTGAATTTTTTTTATTCTCTGTAGTTGTAGTGCCAATAAGATATAACACACTCTTTGTTAATCCAAGATAAATGATTTTTTATCATGTGCTGTTTCAAGATGTAATTTAATATTGTGGGGAGATACTGCAATGATTCTAGGTTGAATAAAATATTTGAAATAAAAGGACATACCAAAACAATGAACATGTCAGCAAGAAGCCTTCTTCAGCGATCAGACGAGTAGCACAAATATAAAAATTAATATAAACACATTGCTGAAATGTAGTATCACTGACTAACAGCTTAAACGGAGCTAACATTTTATTTTTTATTTCTTATATACAAGAGGGGTTTGTCCATTACAGGTGCAGTTTTTTTTTTTTATCTTTCCTCCAGTTCAGCATCATGTTTGACTCCCTTATCATTTCAAATTGATTTTCCTGTTTTCCCAGCGATTTTCCTTCATGGATGGTTTCAGCGGCATGTTTTTTTTTATTAAGATCACAACTATGGTTGAAGAATGCACTTGTATAGAAGCTCTCCCTGAAATATTTTATTATAATTTATTCTCTGGATAGTTCAAAGGGTTTCCTAATTTTTATTAGCATGAAAAAACAATAAATATATGTCTGCAAGGAAACTTATTTGAATAAAAGCAACAAAAAAAAAAAGGTAGAAATCGTATTTAAATCATATCCACATGACCCTTCAAGTGACTCTTGTTTTTTTCTTTCCTCTCTTACTTACAGTTCTCGTTTCTATATCTTCAGGCATACCCAACCATACAGCTTCCATTCAGGTACTCTTGGTTTGTCTTGTAAACATAATGCCATGATTTTAACTATTTTTATTTTGTTTATCATTTCAGCTAATCTATCCACATCAAAACATGAGTTTGGGTTGCACTAAGCACAAATGTTGTGTAAATAGCCATAGCTTAAAATAAAAACACAAATTAATGGAACAGTTCAAAATTGTTAATTTTTTTAATAAATAAAATATCCATTTTATCTGGCTTGGTTACCATTATAAATTCTTTGAAAATGTAAAAGTTGAATAATTACTTCTAAAAATATATACATTTTTAAAAAAGCAAAGGCAATGATTCATGTGAGAGGGTTTGGGGCGGTGGGGGAGCCAACATTTTATATATCTATTGAAGTTACCATGAAAGACTGTAAATTGATATTAATAGCCTTGTGCAACATCTGTGCTTTGATGGGTGAAAAGCTTGTTCTTTGGCTTGGGACAACCATTTTAAGAGTAGCATGTGGATTATGCATCGTAATATGTCACCCAAAAGCGGCACAACTGCTGAAGAATTTTTTCCAATTAAAAAAAATAGGGTTAAAAATTTCAAATAAGCTGCAAACCAAAGTTTAAAAGCTACATATTAAACTCTATAGCTTTGGATTTTCTTATTGAAATGAAATAGCAGCCTAACATGATCTTGTAAAAACATAAACCTGCTAAAGTAGTTTGCTCTGATTTTATTTTTAAAAATTTTCAAGGCAATACCCAACCACTACATTTTTAATCCATCTCTAAATGCTTTTAAATGACCTCATTATTTGATTATATTAATTTTTTAAACTTTATTTTTGGCCTTTTTTTTTTTTACTGACAAAGCTAACAAAGTTCGATGCTCTAGGCAACAATCCTATTGAATATGACATCTTTGTTTCCTTATTTCTTGTCACCCTCTCCCCCCTGCAGATACTTGCATACAGCTGTACTTTTAAATGTGCATGCTAAGAGAACTTCGGAGCTATGTATGAAATTACTGTTTCAGATAGAAAGATAATGACTATTAAAGAAAAATTGGGGTCTTGTTTTTGAATTTGAGAAATATTAGCATGAAATGGTTATGAACTTCTTCTTTGTGCATAAAGTCTTTAAAATTTCAAAATTATCATTGAAGAATTATGGTTACTTTAACATTTGATACAATTTTAAAAATACTATTTTCATTTTTTTTTCCTGACTTGAAGACACAATTAAAGAACAAAAAAAAAACCACAGTTATTTTAAAAATAGTGTGTGTGAAAATCAATCCAGTCTGAAAAATAAGCTTTTACAACTCCCAAAAAAACCCCCACAAATTATTAATTTCAAGACTAAACAATACGAATTAACAAACTTTCTAAATAACCCTACATAGGTGGCATAGATTTTTCATAATGTCATTATTACTTAAATCAATAATTCCTACTTATCAAATTCACCTCTGATCACTAAGTTTTAAAGTATTCTATAGTGTATGAATCCCTTGTTGTATGTACCGAAGATGTTCTATCTCTCTCTTGAACGCAGTCTTTATTATATTTTTAAAAAAACATGTCAGGGCTTTAATTTTAATCCTAACCTCAAACTTCTTTGTTTTCATAGAACTAAAATTCCTTACCAAATAACATTGGAGTAAGTGATATAATAGTATACATATTGTTTTATTTATTTGTAATTTATATTATATCTTCTGTAGGTTGTGTTAAAAGAATTAAATCATTTTATACAAATAGGGGCCTTAGGAAATTTGTTGTCATTTGTAAATGGAAAAAAAAAATGTGTTGCAGCTACATTTCATTGATGTCCTCTGTTTATCATCCACAATGGTTCTATGCCACCTTTAAGTTTTAGTCAGGTGATTAGATGTCTTGAGCTTGGGGTTGTTGATTTTGTATATACTCTTTGTCTGTTGAAAAATGTATACAAACGTATGATACTATCCATATTTCATGAGGCACTCTACCAAAGTAATGCCTCCAGACCTGCCAAATCAGCTCATGAGTGCAGCATTTCCAATTGCTCTGAGATGCTGCTCTTTCTCTTTTAACATGTTAAGAAAATTAACTTTTGTACAGCATTTTATATTCATTTGTGCAACAATGACCATGATAAGTGCTTTAAGCTGCTGTTTGGCTGTAATTTGTGTTCATTGTTATTTGTGATTGGGATTTGTAAAAAGCATGCATTGAAAGTACAGCTACAGCAACCCATTTAAAATTTGATTTTAAACTATACTTAAATGTATGTTTGTTTCTCAGCTATGTGTTCAGAAGTTACGCATTCTTATTGAGGATTCAGACCAAAACTGTAAGTTGCCAATTCAACAGCATGTTCTTAATAAAAAATTTAAGCACCAGTAATATATGTATACGTTTCACTGTTATTGCTTGTTTCAGGACTATTTTAATATGTCATCCATTGAGAGTTAGAGATGTCATTAGTATTCACCATTTGTGATTTAAAAGTGATAAAACAAAACAAAAACTGACTAAATTACTTGAATGATAAAATTTGAGCAAAAAATTGCTTTAAATAAATTGATTAGTTAACATCATTATTCACTTTACAAATAATTGAAATTTTATACAAATTTTTTAACTGCTGATTTGATACTTTTTCATATTTAAATGATAACAGGCTCATGATTTCAACAGCTCTGAAAGATGTATGAAATTCACATTGCTCTTTTTTTTTATTTATTTATTCTTACAATGGTCCCTTACAGTGCATTTTTATTTTCAGTGAAATATCTGGGTTTACTGGCCATGTCTCGTATATTGGCAACACATCCCAAATCTGTTCAAGGACACAAAGACCTAATATTACAGTGCCTGGATGACAGAGATGAATCTATTCGGCTCCGAGCCCTGGATCTGCTTTATGGAATGGTAACAGCTCAATAAGTACTTCCCCCTCATTGTAAACTTTGAACAAAATCATTTATTATTTATTGTAACTTAATCTGTGTCAAAAGACTATTTCAAATGTGTGTTTTCCCCACATGTTTAGGTGACCAAGAAAAACCTGATGGAAATAGTTAAGAAGTTGATGGTACACATGGACAAAGCTGAGGGTTCCCATTATAGGGATGAGCTGTTGTCCAAAACAGTAGAGATTTGCAGTCAGTCAAACTATCAATATGTCACCAATTTTGAATGGTAACTTGTTTTATATATCGAGCTCTCGTGAATAATTGTTGAGAAAAACAAATAACTAACTTTTAGGACAAAGTCAGGTCTTTATTTATAAATTACTTAACATTTATTTATTTAAAAAAATTACTAATGGCAGATCAGTATCTTTAGACTTGAAGATATTATAATTTTATTCAATCTAGGTATGTGAGTATATTGGTTGAGTTGACAAGAATGGAGGGCACAAAGCATGGGAAGTTGATAGCGAATCAAATGTTAGATGTGGCCATCCGTGTACAAGCAATACGCCACTTTGCAGTTTCACAAATGGTATGACAAAATTAACTTTCTCAGTTAAAACTTATAATAGTTTTCGTTCTTTAAAGTTACAGTTCTTCAGTCGTTTCAATCATTCAAAAATTGCTCACTGAAATTCTAATTTGATATTTAATTTGTTTATTTCGGGATCATACATTTCTGGATGTAAATTTCTTATCTCTTAAAAAATTCAGGCTCTCTTGCTGGAGAATTCACACATACTGGCTAACAATTCGCAGAGAAATGGAATCTGTGAAGTCCTTCATGCAGCAGCCTGGATCTGTGGAGAGTTTTCAGAGTGAGCACATGTTGCAAATATAGTCTATGCAAAATTGCCTAGTTTTTATAGTTCATTTCATAAAAAGAACAGGATTAAGTAACCATTACTATTAAGTTTCTAAGCAAAATTGCATTGTTTGACTGTTCATTTCTTACAATTAACAGTATTATGTAACATTTTCTATGAACTTCCTGTGTGAAAATCTGTGCTTGCAGAGGTTATTTCAACTTGTGAAATCATTAATAATTTCTGTCAGGCATTTGAACAATCCTAAAGCTACACTGGAGGCCATGCTAAAGCAAAAGATCACATCCTTACCTGGTCACATACAGTCCATTTTTGTGCAAAACATCCTGAAATTATATGGCAAGATCCTGAAAGCAGCTGAGGCCAAGGAAGATGATGAGTTGAAGAAGGAAGTTCACACACTGCTACAAGAAAAACTCCCTGTGTTTATTCAGAGTGGTGACCTGGAAGTTCAAGAGAGGGTAAATCATAAATTTTGACCAAGTTAATTTAATTTTAATGTTTTAACATTTATTTATAGGAAGGGCAACCTTAAGATAAAATTGTTTTCCTGTTACCAGACTGTTGATTGTTGTCTTATGTTTAGATGGTTAACTGACACAAGTTTCGAACAAATTGTGTATCTATGGAACACACAAACAACATACATCCCCCGTCCCCATTGTTACAATTAAAAATCAAATTATTAGCAACTTCCAACTCTTGGGTTATACAAAATTAAAATGACTTGAACATTGAAAACAATATATTAAAACACGGTTTACATTTTTTAAAAACTTGTTTGATTTAATTTGAAATGTTATCATTGTCAAAAGACTCTGGTGATATTAATAAAAGTTATTTTTTAAAAATGGTTTTATACTTTCCTTTAATTCCTTTCTGTTAATTAGCTGTTTTTCTTGCCCTTTTCTAACAGGCATGCAGCATTCTTCAGATAGTGAAATTTGTGGTTAAACTTGAGATGAAAGGAGCAGCTGTAGCTGATGAGGTAGAAGGCCTGTATTCAGGCGAGCTTAATCCAGTGGCCCCAAAAGCTCAGAAGAAGGTCCCAGTCCCTGAAGGGTAAGGTTCTTATTGTTTGAACAAATTAACTTACACATTCTTGGCAGAGTTTTAAAAAAAAATATAACTCCTTTTTTAATAGTTGATTGTATTGAAAGAACCGGTGCTAGTTTAAGATTTGATATACAGCTTAACATCTTTATTCAATATTTTGTACAAATAATACTTTTGATAGATTTCATGAGGTACATTAAGTTTAATTTCTCTCCTCAGTCTTGATCTAGATAAATGGATAAATGAACCAGTTGAAGACAGTTCAGATGAAGAAGTTGGCGGGACAGCATTCTTCCTTACAGAAGATAACCAACACAGGTTGGCAGCATAATTAGAATTCAAGTGTTGAAATAAATGTCAAAATGAAACCATTATTGATCTATTAGGAGTGTAATTGGAAATTAAATTCTTACAGAAATGTTGGTATGAAACATAATTCTGGGATGAAAAACAAACACAAAACCTAGAACAGTAAAATAGACTGAACAACCAAGCCCAAGATTTTGAAGCATTTTTTATTTGTTTTTAAATAATTTCATTTATATGTATTAAAATAAATATTAAAAAAAACAAAAACCCATCCAAGTTGCTAATTACTCATTATTCAGAGATAATAGTTACATGAGCCCATTTTATTCTACAGGTCCTCGTATCAGTATGGAGAAGATACTAGGCCAGCATATGAGCCAACAGAAGAGGAGATAGAAAAGGTGGTTGTCTTATGTATATTTTTAATAGTTTTTTTTTATTTATTACATGCTATATTAAAGTTTTAAAGATTTTATTTACAAAAAATTTTGTAGCAAGGGCATTTATTGTGAATGTGTTAAGCAATGCAAATATTTACTTCTACATTTTTCTTTTCCTTTTCAGAGAAGAGAAATAAGAAAGACTGAAGTTGAGCACAATCCACACTATCTGAAAGATGATGGCAAAGGAAAGAAGAAAAGTAGAACTAAAGATTCATTAGATTCCAAGGATATTCCTCCGGTAGCTGAGATTGATTTGTCCATTCCGCTTCATGTCCCTGGTAATCACTACATTTACATTCATATTGATCCATGGCTCTATATTTTTTGTGTTTGAAAGTTATTAATTAGTGTAATTTTATTTAAGCCAACAAGATGCTATAAGAAAATGTTATCATTTGAAGACCATTTTTCACTTATATCAATGCTTTTAATGCTGAAAAAGTTAACAAATTTTGAACTTGAAAACAAAGTCAGTTAAATTTGCAATTAATTTTTTGAAATTTTCTTTTAAAACGAAAAAATTAAACCCCTGAAACATCATGATTTAACTTTCATTGGGGTGCTTTGAATAGAATAGTAACATGATTTGTTTTTAAAATTCACTGTTAAAACCAAAACTTAAAGATGTTTTAGAACAATTTTTCTCTGTTTATATCAAATAAACCTCTTCACATCTTAAGCAAGAGTTATTTGATTGAAAATGATTTTTTTTAAATGTTTTTCTCTGTATGAATCTATTTATTTTCAGGAATGTCATCATCAGACAAGTACATGATGTTACAGCAGCAGGCTGATCAGGCCAGGAAGGTCAAAAAAGAGAAGAGCAAAAAGAAGAGGAAGAAGGGCAAGAAAGGAAAGCATGCTGAAGAGTCAGAAGATGATGATGACATCCCGGCAGTGCATTCAGTCAGCACAATTGTTGATGCCCCTGAGGTCTGTGTTTAAAAGAATCTATAGAATAGTAGTTACTATCCTAGTGTCTCATTTTTATTTTACTTAGTTTACATGTTTTAATAATTGTAAAGCGCTTAGAGCTTTATGATAAGCGCTATATAAAAATGCCTAAATAAATAAATAAATAAATGGTGGGGGGGGGGGGGGGGAATTGTTTTTAACTAGTGTTGGCATCAAAATTCAGAAACTTGATATTTAAACACAATACAGGTTTGAATTTGCTAGCTTTGCAAGGTAGATATTGTCTTATAGGTGATTTTAAATTTACAATATCATTAAAATGCTTATTATTACAACAGGTTTGATTAAAGGCTTAGTTTTATAATAATTTATTTTTCAAGTCATATAATTATTATTTGCAACAAAATTGTGTGTTCTTGTATCTCAGGGTGCAAATGTATCAGATAATGAAGATGACAGGAAAAAAACTGATTTGTACAAAGCTCTGGACATTAACTTGGATGAGTGAGTTATCATTTCATTGTATTGGTTTTATATGTGTAAGGTGTTTTTTTTAAATTTTACTACATATGATTCAGTTCCTATGTAATAAAGAAATCTTTCGCTTGTATACCATGGTATATGCCACAAAAAGGTCTACATATTTTCATTAAATGTTACTTTATTTAAACTCAAGGCCTTTAAGAGATGATGAAGTTCTCCCTGTCAGAACACATCACATTGTTCTTGAAACTTCAAAAGCTGAGGTTGACAAAGATGTTGAGAAAGAAAAAACAAAAAAGAAGCATAAAAAGGATAGGGAAAAGAAGGAAAAAGATAAGAAAGGAAAGGTAAGCAGTTTATCAGCATATTAATATTAGATGGAAATCATTAATCTTTGTATTAAGTACTTTCATGGTAACGTTTAATCATTAGTCTTGGCTTTAAGTACTTAGATTAATTAGACACGACCAATCTGTGTCAATATAACACTATATGTTAAGCTTTAATACTAATTTTACATAATACACAAATAAACCTTTTGGCACATGCCTTCATCAGTATAGCAACAAACATTTATATAAGTATATTAAATTTACATAATATATATATACATATATAGGAGTGGGCGCATGGTAAAGCAGAAAAAACTAATTTTTTTTAAATTCATTTTTTTTTTTTTAATATTAAGGACCAGGGACAGTTTTTAACTAAAACATCTTTTAAAAATGTTTTCAGAAAGTAAAGAGGAAGCATAAGAAATCTGAAAGCAAGGACAGTGGCCCTTCATTGCTCATAACAGAATCTACTGATGTCCCAGGAACAATCAGAGAGTCAGATATTGTGGAGGAAATAGCCAGTAATGAAACAACGCCTGTGGAACAAGAATCTCCACAGAAAGAGGTGATTTTTGGATATAATAGGTTCTTCAGTTTAATTACTTTTTAAAGCCAATCTTATCAAATTTGTTAGAAATTATGCCATCTATCCATGTTTTAAAAAAAAAATAATATGTATTCAAAGGGTGGTGACGACCTTAGTTTCTGGCTGTCAAATGATACGACATCCAGCAAATCGTTAACAGATGAGACACCAGCTCTTCAGAATGGACCAACAGAGAAGATTTTCACATCTCCATCCAATTCAAGACCCAAAATAGCTGTTGAAAATGTTATATTAACTTCTGACGAGGAAGAACCGCACACAGAAGAGGCAAGTTATTTTTTTAATATATTAGTTTTCTTTTGGTGCAACGCTTCATATATATCTTTTTATTTTTTCATATTGAGATCATTTCATTTTTTTTCCTTCTCAAAAGCAAATTAGTCAATATAAAATTTTATCTAGTCCTCCCATATTTGTAGGTCGTGTAGTTTTTTTTATTTGAGGGCTATGTGAATTACTTTAGCAGAAACCAAAAAAGAAGAAAGAAAAGAAATCAAAAAAAGAAAAAGAAAGAGAGAAAAAAGAAAAGAAAAAGGAGAAGAAAAAGCTCAAGGATAAGCGCAGTGAATATGAAGAAGCAGACGGAACAACAACACCTTCCAAAGAAGCCATAAGTTTATCACAGCAGCCCACGCCGAATGATGTCAAATTACCAGTAAGTAAACTTTGGTGCAGAATAATTGTCAAACATACGTGTTGCCAAGGAAATTAATAATATAAATACAAAGTTATGTATTGTTCTGTTAGAAGCCTTCTTGATCTAAAACACACATGCATGTTCATTTACAATTATAAATAGGGAGTAAGTATAATAAAGAAGCAACATTTTAAAATACTTATCTTATAGAAAATTAAAAATTGTATAAAAGATATTTTCAAACTTGTGTGACTTGTAAAAAAGATGCTAACAAAATTGTTGAGTAAATGAGTTAAACCAAAAGTGTGTACTATGCTGGAGTTGTCCCAATGATTGAATTTAAAAAAAAAAAATTATAATGTGTTATGTTTACCACCATTCAGCCAATGTCAAGTTACCTGCCACTTGCCCAAAGTACAGCCATAAAGTTGGTGAGTTCACTCTTTTGAAATTGCCTTTTATTATGTTTCACATGATCGTCAGTTAAAAATCAGTCACTATTCAGTGTGTTTTTTTTAAATATAAAAAAGATGATAAACACCTGCCTTACCAATCTTCTAAATTAATTATTTATTTGTGTTTTACTCCTAGACCTATGAAACCCGCATCAACCACCAAAGAAGTGATCAAATAGTTGTGTCAGTTGTGTTCACCAACCTAACCAAAGACACAGTCAAAGATCTTGAATTTAGTGTGTTGGACACACTTAATACAAAGCTCATCAGAGGGGTAATAAACAGATCTTTTATGTAATATTTATTAACTTTCACTACTTTGTTGTTTTTTTGTAAAACTGGCAATTGCAGAATTATTTTGTGTGTGGATTTGTGTTTGAGGTTGGGCGAGGTTAGATATTTAACTGTAATGTTCTTGATATATATATACTTAACATGCAAAAAAAAAAAAAAAAAAAAAAAAAAAAAAAAAAAAAAAAAAAAAAAAAAAAAAAAAAAAAAATAATTACAGAAATAAAAAGTGAGTGGATTTGTGTTTGAGGTTGGGCGAGGTTAGATATTTAACTGTAATGTTCTTGATATATATATACTTAACATGCAAAAAAAAAAAAAAAAAAAAAAAAAAAAAAAAAAAGAAACACTGTAAATATTAACAATACATTAGAAATGATATCACATGATTTACAGCATTTTTAATTATGGGAATTTGCATTATAATTTTATAATCTTCATGGCATTTAAAATTACATCCTCTGTTATACATATAATAGTCATTAAAAGAAAATTACACTTGCAAATCAAATTAATTAAGTGGTAACCTTTAACTTTTAATCACCCCATCATTAAAGAAAAATATTTATCTTACAAAAAATGAATACCTCTAATACTTGAGTATGTTACATACTGCCCTATTAGCAATTTTTTTTTAATCTGGAAAATACTCTGGCTCCAAAATAGTAACATTGGGTAGCCATTTTAGCATTAAATTATATTTTAGGTAATACACCTTGCTTTGCACGATGACTGGCTTCTAGCCAAAGTTTCTGAGCTACTGTTGTTATCTTCTGGTTTTTAATCAAATATGTATATATGAAGAGTACAAATTACCAGATTGTACATTCTCCAACATGTGTATTTTATCTGCATTAGAAATTGAAATGTTATAATAATTTCATTTCCATTTCTTAATTAACTTATTTTTTTCCCTTACAATTCACAAAATTATTTAGTATTGTACTGTGTTCCTCCTATATAGATGGGCCAGAAATCCCATGATGCTGTGAAAGTCCCATTTGTCCTTCTGCCTGAAGCCCAGAATGAGGGCCAGTTTGCATTCACTGTTGACAAAATTACAATGCCCCAAAAGTTACGGGGAACTCTAACTTACATAATTAAGGCAAGTGGCTAAGTCTACTCTCTGTAATTTAAACATAGGAGCCAGAATGATCAATTCATTGATCGTGGGTCCTCAAAATAAAGAAGAAGAAATAAAAAATAAAGAAGAAACATCAGTGTGGTTACTTCATTACAGTTAAAATATAATTTTGAATATGAGACACAGTAAGGAATAAATAACTTCTGTTTCATTTAAGGTAAAATATTTTAGAGTTGATTTATATGAACTGAATTTCAAAGCCAGTTATGCATTTTAAAATGATACAATACTATCCTAGATGTATTTAAAGTAACTTTTTTGTTTGTTCTCGGAATACTTTTATTTTTTAAGATATCTCTACATCCCATTTCACAAAAAATAACTTTCTCCACAGACAGTGGATGGTTCCACACATGATAAAGTTGACTTCAAGATTAACCTTCCCTGTAGCACTTACCTTGTCACAACATCAAGCACCAGGTAGATGTATAATTTGCTTACATATAGTTTGTAGTGCATACATGTACGTAATATTAACTTGTAGCAATAAATCAATTTCATTCAATAATGTATAATCAAAAAGAAAATTCTCATTTAAGTTAAATCCAAAATGAAAAGAATTCGGAAAATAACAAGAATTGAAAAGTGACCTTATAGAAAATGTTATTAAGAAAAAGCAATGATTGTTATAAATTTAAATTGGAATAGATCTATATTTTTGGCTACACAGGTTAGTTAACTACTTTAACCCTTACGGTACTGACATACTTTTTGCTTTTATTGTCTCAGTACCGGCCATTAATTGGCTAATTCCCTGTGGCTCAGACATTATTTTGGACTCAGTCAAAATTTGATAGGATTGTTAATTTATTTTGTAACTTTTTTGTTTTAAACAATTGATAATAACATGTAGAGAATCATCTGTTCAGAAATGGATAAGGGTGTTAAAAAACACTTCTAATCCCAATTAAAGCTCCATAATATTTTCAGAACAAAAGGTTTCATCAAGTGGGCGTAAGTCGCCATCAACAATGGCGATTAGGTAGCGCCATGGAAACAACAAATACAGATTCGTTAAAAAAACTCAGTAATTTGTCGATTTTCATAATTTAAAAGGCAAATTAAAATTTGACTATTCCCCTAACGAATAAACATTCTGCCCGAGGCTGTGATGAAACGTTATATCCTCATTTCTGTGTTTATATTAGCTACCCCTCTAAGTCATCATGAACAATAGTCAATAGCGCTGGTAGCGCCATGGAAACAACAAATACAGATCCGCATAAAAAACTCAGTAATAGGTCAATTTTCATAATTTAAAAGGCAAATTAAAATTTGACTATTCCCCTAACGAATAAACATTCTGCCCGAGACTGGGGTGAAAGGTTATATCCTTGTTTCTGTGTTTTTATTAGATACCCCTCTATGTGGCAAATAGACGTGCTTGGGCCACAGGGAAAACGATCGGCTGGTGAAAAAAGACGCGCTTGGGTCACAGGGAAAACGATCGGCTGGTGAAAAAAGACGCGCTTGGGTCACAGGGAAAAATTAGGTCACTGCAAAAAGACGCGCCGGGTACTGTAAGGGTTAATATCTTAATCAATGCTTAATGTTTCCAGTGATAACTTTGCATCCCTGTTGGCCAGTGGAGAGATGAAAGAAAAAGCTTCAATAAAGTTTACCCCAACAGATGCTCAGCTGTCCCATATGCTGGCTAAAACATGTTTCTTTTTGCATTTTAGTGGTGAGACATTAGTTCAATGTTAAACAATTTTCTAAATATATATTTACAACTGATAACAATATCCCCCCAAATCTATAGATATGTATGCACTTTTAATATCTATCAATTGATCTTAAATATGATTAAATCCTGTGATCATTAAAGTTTAGGAATTGTTTCAGAAATTAAGCTATTTGTTATAGTTTTTTGCCACCTCAATATTAGCAGGAAATTGTTTTCAATTCTGTATTATTAAAAAAAAAAAGTTCTTTGCAAAATTACTGTGTGGCTTTTTTCATTATAACCTTTTCATAAAAACACAAAGTTACCATCAAATTCATTGCAATTTCTAGCCAAATGTTTTAAAGTAACAAGTCCTGAAACTATGAGTTTGATAGTGGACCAGATTATAAAGTTATTAAGCATAACTCATCTGCCAAAAAACTAAAATGATGTCATTACATTGTTCCTTGATTCTCAACTTTTCTAGTTGTGGAACAAGTAGAAAACAGTGCCTCACTGTACAGCCGCTCAATACAGGGACATCCAGTGTGTTTACTAGTCAAATATGTAAGTTTCATCCTCTTAGGAGGTCTAAACACTGTCAAATTATATAGCTATACATTTCTAAGTTAGAGAAAAGCACAATGTAGCAAATTTAAATATTTACTTTTCTTACTTTTGATATTGGAATTTGAAATCCCTCGTTCACTTTACTGACTATTTAATTTATTACCATGGGAGTGGTATCCATGACTTATCACTTTCTTTGCACAATTTAGAAATTAAATATCAAACTACAATTTTAAAAAAATATTTATTCTATTAAGTGTTATCGACTGGTGTATACAAAACGATATCAACCAATATACTTGTATTTCCTTTCTTTTTATACAGGCTGAAGGCAGCCTGATTGTAGAAGGCAAAAGTTCAGACCAGACATTCCTCTCCAACATTCTAGATGATATGAAAACATTGTTGTCACAAGCCTCCTAACATTAACCCTTGTGCTGCTGCACATCTGTGATATTAGATAGAGGAGTGCAAGCAAGCTTCCAGTGCAACCTTTAAGTTCTTTGGTTTAATTAGGAGGAGCCTGATGGCAGAGGAGATGAAGGAAGCCACTTCTGATAAAGCTAATCGTCCTTCATAAATTGACACCACCACCAAACTTTAAACATTTAATTAAGGTGGCTGATCAATCCAAGCTTAAGAAGTGCAAAATTCCTATGCAAAAAAAAAAAAATAAAAAAAAAATTAAAACACCCTACTTGTCCTGCTCACAGGAAACAGATACTTCTTTTTTTGCCACTTGCTCCTCCGAAAGTGTTAATTATGTTTGTTCTTGTGATTGTTGCCTCATTAATTTTTTTATTGTTGTATAAATACGAAACTTATTTTCATTTCTGACAGTCCCTTTTCAGTGGGGATTGCTTCTAGTGGTAACTGATGACTCAGATGATTGAGTGATTCATTCCAAAAATAATAGTTTTCAACAGTGGAAATGTACTGAACTCATTGTTTATTTGTATAAATCTCTTAACAAAGCCATAATGTTGACTTATTAGCTAAGGAAAATATTATTTTGATCCCTAGCTTAGTTACTAGGATGTGCGATTATCAACTAGATAATAAGACCATCAGACTAATGTAATTTCCTGAACATATTGATGTATTTATTTTTAAATCTCTAATCCTTGATTCACCCCTGCTATGCTGTTAGGCTTCAAAATCATTTATACAAAAGTTAAGAAAGAAGAATTATGAAAGTAAATTTTTTGAAAATTAAATAAAAATGTTTTCCTTGAGATTTTAGTAAGTGGTTGAGTAAATTGTTGTTTTACAACTCAGACAGTTATTTGAAAACATTGATCATTTATTATTTCCACCCATTTATTCAAAAGAAACTTGTAGTTCAAAGCAAGCAAACCTCTTAGAATTATAAATATTATAATAATAATTTTATAAATATTTGGAAACTTATTGTAACAGTATGAAGCATTAGCACTATATGGTTATTGTAAAAAATGAAATAGTATTTAACAATCTTTTGCTAATGACAATATAATCCACAAAATCTTGATATTTCAAAATTTTTCAACATGTGAAGTATCTTTTATAATATTTCCAGTTTATAAGAGCATATGAATAATTTGTTACATATTTGTTTATAGTATAGTATTACCCTAAAAGCTCAAATCAATTATAAAAAAAAAAAAAGAAATAATTAAAAATTGATATATTCATTTCATGAGAGTAATTTTAAAATTTTTCAAAATGTGAAGTATCTTTTATAATATTTCCAGTTTATAAAAGCATATGAATAATTTGTTACATATTTGTTTATAGTATAGTATTACCCTAAAAGCTCAAATAAATTATAAAAAAAAAAAAAGAAATAATTAAAAATTGATATATTCATTTCATGAGAGTAACATTTTTTTTTGTTTAAAATAAGAAAAAATGAATATTTAGCAACAAAATGTATTATTCACTATTTTAAAATTAATCATGTGTATGAAATATTTTTAGTGCTACCATGTAGTCTAAATCTCTTTTTTAGTAGGGTATACAATATATTAGCTATACAAATAAGGCCATTAAAAAAAACAACAGATCTCTGCTGTATGCTTTAAAAAAAAACGCTTGAAAGATATTTTTTATTGTGTTATTGAAGCAGTTCCACATTTCCTAACTAGAATTGCAGATTTTAGGGCCTCACCAGATTTTTTAGCCCAGATATATGCTGAAGGGATTAAATATCTATAAACAAGGTGTAAAAATAAAAATCCCCAAGACTGTCATAAGGTAAACATTATTTCCCCATGCATTAAAAGGCTTGAGATTAAAAAAAAGCAACATTTTTATAATTTAATTTATATTAAGGGCTCTTGTTTCAGTTCTGTTATATTTTTTTTTACAAAAGAAGCAGTTGGTTCACTCTAAATGTTTATGATTTATTACCTATGGAGTCTTGTGTAAATGTTTCATAAAATCATAATGTATGTAGTAGTCCATTAAAAAAAATTTAGAAGGGGTTTGTTTGAAAATGAATTTTTTTTCATTTTGTTTATTCCTAGAATTAATGTTGTACATTGATTGAAAATTGTGCAATAGTTGAAAAAGAAAATCATATTGAGGATTTTTCCCTCATCCATTCTTGGGGTCTTTTTTTTTTCTTCTGTTCCCGTATGATGAAATCGTATTTGTATATATTTTGTAGAACAATGCATTTCACCATTGGCATTATGATCACATAAAGGAAAACTAGATTTTTTTTTGTAAAGAGACTTCTTTTTTTCCCTTAGATAATTATTGATAGTGCATATTTGATTGGTTTGATCAATTTGAATGCTGGGTCTTCCTTATTTAGCATGGGATTCTAGAGGTTAAATTTTTCTTGTAAACTCAACTTGCTGTAAAATCAGAATTCTTTTCTTCACATTTTATCATTTTATATGTACACATATTTCATTTTTTGTTTTGTAGTAATTAAAGTTCTTTTTTTATGATTAATTTATTAAGCAGTTTGATTGTTGAGAGGTTTGTCTTTGAAATGTTTGATGGCCTCTAATTACTAATGGTTGTGAGTCCATCAAAAAATACTGGTAAATCTCTATGAATTTTTTCCCTGTCACTGTTACCGATTGCCTGAGACATTAACTTTTTAAAGTTAAGACTATAGATAAGTCATTTTAAAAAAATCTACTGATGGTTATAATTTAAATAAAAACTAGTATTGTTTGCTTTTATTTTTTTACCCAGACTCTCTAACCCACATTATTATTTCAATAATTTCACACATCAATAATCTGAATGATAGTCATTAGCTTACAAGAATGACCTTTTAAAGAAAGCTTAGTACCTATCCCAAAATATCCCTAGCTTATCTGTTCACACTTGGTCTAGATCAGTGGTCTCTAACTCACGCTACACTAAGCACCACACCTAGAATATTCAAGAGCCAAAGTTTTACAGCAGATATACAATATTAATCATTTTGTCAAGTATACATTGTATTTGCAACACAAACCATTTTGTACAAAGTTTGGGTGTGGCCCGCAGGTTTGAGATCCCTTTTCGAAATTCACTTTAGATACCAGTAAAAAAAATTCTTTTTTTACTTTTGAAACTCTTGTGGAAATGTCATAAAAGAAATTTGTTCTAACAATGAAATGGTTTGGGAAATAATGAAGATAGGTACTGGCATTTTATGTTAATTTGCTGTTGGTCCCTGTGCAAAAAAAAACAACTTAAAACAATCTTCTTTTTTTGATACCTATTAAAGGGCACTGTCTCAGGGAATATGAAGAATTATCTAATGGTCAATGAAATCACACTGCTGATTGAAGCCATAAAAATTAGTAAATAACTGTTAGGTTTTTCACCTCATTTAATTTTATGCATCTGATAGGGTATTTTTTTAAATAAGTGGAACAAAAACCAGTACAAGGTATGAGTTATAGAATTACTCCATTTTATGACAACCAATTGTCTGTTCAGAAGTTCATTGCTTTTTCACCCCTCTTACTATTCAGTAATCTACCATTTGTATACAGACATTTGTGATGTTATTTTGTGGGTAAATATTTGTTTTGTGTTGTCAAGAGTTGTGTCTGTGTTTAACTTAAAACCTACCGTGATTTTCATTTAAGCCAAGTTTATACAGTATTTGAGAGGCTGGCAACAGAAAGGAAAAAAATATATAAAACTAAGATTTTAACCAGTTAATATTTGTTTTCCTTTGAGGAGATATATGCAAATTCATTTATTTTGCCACTGAGTCAAAATGCCTGGCCATCAGCCTGCATTGCAAGCTAACAAAAGCAGGCATTCCAGTTTTAGGATCAGGGGCCGGCAGGAGATTGAGAAGCTGCAGGAGATTGAGTCGCGGATAGAAAAGGAATATATATGCATGACCAGAGATGATGTATTATTTTTGTGTGTGCTTAAAAGATTGAGACAAATCATACTTTATTTTAATGCAAGCACTTGAGCATTGACAAAACTAAAATATTTAAAGAATATCACTGTAACATTTATTTCATGTCTGTTGTATGAGTTATTGAATTAATCAGCTGTGCTTGCAACTATCAAATCATAAGAAAAATTGCATACATATTTATGTAAATTATGAATATTTTAAATTAAAAAACAAGTATAAAATTCAGAAATTAATGACATGTTGTTTTCTTTTAAAAATAATTTTAACAAAAGATTTTGAAGACATTCCATATTTGTTGTCATTTAAGTGGATTTGGGAACATTAGGGAAGCAGCATCAGGTAAAGGAAGAGTCATTATTTATATTATAATGTGACATGACTCAAAATACAAAATTCTGAAAAATGTATGTAAAAAGCCAACATGTGGATAGGTAAATAAAACATTAATGAACAGAGTTCAGAGAGTTAACTATACGAAGTGGCTATTCGGATCCGGGAAGTTAGAGGTTGGGATTAAAATATTATTGTTCCGTTGTAAGACCAAATTTGGTATCAAACGAAAGATAATTGAATGGACTATATGTGTGTAAACTTAATTCTTCAGTTTAACTAAAATAAACTACCACAAATGACATCTGAATAGCATTGAGTCTAAAGGAACCCGGGTCCGAATAGCGGCGATGCATTTCCGGATACCAAATTTTGTCTTACTTACAAACCCTAAGATAATTTTAAAATATTTTTTTAATAAACCCAAACTCTAACTTCTCAGACCCGGGTCCGAATAGCCGCATCCTTAACTATAACAGTAGTATAACAAGAAAATTATTTTCCAATTAAGTCTACCCAGTATCTGCATATCCCTTTCTAATTTATAAATATACATTTTTGCCATTTAAAATTTACATTGGGCAGAAGTAGATACAATTGTGGCTTAGAGTTTAAAAGGGGTGGTTTTAAAGTTGTTACCATAAATTTCTAAAAGATGAACTTTAAAAAATAAGTCCTTCATATTATCAGTAGTATTAGTAGGTTAAAAGGAATAAATATCCTTGAATTTTCTTGAGTTTAGAGTATACTGCCTATAGATAAGTGAAATTAATTACTCAATTCAAATTTAGAAATATTATTTTTTTTGAGAATAACTAATAACAGGATGATACATTATAACTTATACTTAAAACTAAAATAATATTTTTTAAAAAATAATGCTCTATCCATTATGTCTGAAAAAGGCACAAACGAGATTAAGACAACTTTTGATTTCATTATTGTCTTTCAAATTTTGCATGCAAACAATTTACACTACATACAATTACAATAAATAAATCAAAATAACACTATTTCATCATAAATTTACATTGAAACTTTATTATTAAATTCATGCTTGATATTTACAACTAATAGGACAAAGCTCTTAAAGTTGCTAAAGATGTGTGTTGTAATTCAAACAAAAACCAGTTGCATTTGATGCAATTTTTAAGCCCAACTCAAAGCACAGTATGAAGAAATGTATTTTTCCTAATAGATAAATTCTGATATTAAAAATTGACAGTGTTCAAAACAAGTCTAAACCCACAAAATATTAGCAACGACTACTTTATTTACACTTACAGATGGTGTTTATTAATCTTTTTCTGCTTTACCACTATCCAATCATCACAAAATAATATATATTTTTTTTACTAATCAGTACTTCATGTCCTTTTTTAAAACTATATATTTTTTAATAAAATTTCTTACAATAGAAATAAAACTGTCCCTCACGAGGTCCGAAGCTTTGAAGTTAGAAAACTTTACTAACATCAAAAGCAGGATGGGTTACTAAAGTAAATGCTAGTAATGTCAATGATAGTTTTATTACAAAGCTAACCTTCATAAAAGTTCTGATGCTATTAATAAATCTGTACCAACTATTTATAAATTATATAATATTTTAGTTTAAATATTATTTTTATTGGTGCCAGTATTCCTATTTAAACATTAGAAACAAGGCATAGTAAGTATTTTTTAGAATCTATGAAATTATGTTACCGGTTTATTCATATGATTAAATGTGAGCATTGTAATGTTTTTAATGATCATGTACTTTTTAACATGCTTATGTTTAGGGACAAGAGCTTCAAAAATGACAAACTGATAATGTTTTATTTTTTTTCTAAAACATCTTTCCAAGATGGGAATCTGTTTTCATCAACCACTCTAAAACTGTATTCAAATTAAATATAGCCAAATAAGCAACACTTCTCTGAAATAGTGGCCCTTACAAACACCACATTATCTAAGCATCACTTAGGGAAAAAAATTATTTAACCAGTGGTCTACTGTTGTCTTCATCCATACAGTTTGATGATTTGTACTTCTGTACCTCTTGCAAGTACCTGGCCCAGGCATCTAGTTTTTCCTGGCTGACTTCATCCTGCGCAGAGAAATCTTATTTTGTAAATAAATGTGTAAAGAACTTCCAAGTGCACAGGTTTCTGCAACCCTTTTTTTACCCTTCCTGATTTACAGGACAAGATATGCAACTTGAATCAATATATTTCTTCCCATAAATATTATGATAGTCTGAGACTGTTTGTCAGATTTCAGCTACATCATTTTAGGAAAAAATTTGAAAACTTCTTTACAGATGGAGATACTTACCTTTTTCATTTATTTATTTGTCTAATTAATAGCCACTTCAAATCATAATGGATAAAATACAATTCTGCCAAACTGTTGAATTTTTTTTTAATGGTGTTGTATAAAATGCCATCATTACCACTTCATTTTTTTTCAGTTAGATCAGAGGTAACAAACATCCCTTCCGGAAGTAAAATGAATTAGGAATATACAACCATTACCTCTACTGGCTCTTGTGGTTTCTTGAGAACAATTCCTGTCTTAAGAGGCTTTGCTAGTCTGCGTTTACCCACCTGCAAAAACAAACCTAATAGTGTCAAACTCAGTTGAGTTTGCGTCACGAGTTTCTAATATGAAAGCACATCTATATGGTTAAATTATCTGACCATTAACCGAGTCAATTATGGGGGGAGTAAAACCGTAATTAATATTTTCTAATTCATCATAGAACAAGAAAATTGAAACCTTTCAAACTTTAAAAAATATAAGGTAGAAATGTTTAAACAATAATAAATGCTTAAACCAGTGGTTCCCAAACTATTATACAGGATAACTCTTGGAACTATTACAATCAAAATTTGCAAAATGAATTAAGATATTGTTTTGGACAATCAAGGATGCAATTTGCAGTATATTGAAAAATATCTTCTTATAAATTTTTATCAACCTGTGATAGACAGCTTATATACATGCAGGTAGGTCAGTAACTGATAACTATCAATAAATTATTAATAGGTTAGTTTATTTTATATACCGTATTAAAAATAAAAGCAAAATACTGAAATTGTACACATTTCTATTAAAGGTTTAAATATTTCACACAATCTATTTTTCCTCTGCACATTAAATCATTTTTTTCTTCATCTATTCAATTTATTTAAAAATCCCATCCCACACCCAACCTATACCATAGTCTATTGCACCATCATATTAAACATTTTGGGAACCACTGACTGTGACTGGCTGTATGATTTACACAGCTTTTAAAAAAGGTAAAACTAGTTTATGCTTCAAATAAAGCACAGGTTCCCAACCTTTATAGAGCCATTAACCCACTAACTCATTTTTAAGATGAAAAGTGAAACTAGAGTCACTTAGAACTAAAGTGAACCATGGCCACAATAAATAAAAAAAACTTTTTTTAATAAGTTAAGAGAAACAAATTCAAAATAGAAGCAATATAATAAAATTATTCAAATTTTATCATTAAACAGATTAAAATGAGAATTTCTTTACAACCATTATTTCTTTTTTTAGTTTTAGTCTACTATTTCAGCCTTCAACTACAGAGAACATCCTCACTTGTGGTCATGACCCATGGGTTGGGAACCAGGGATTTTAAAAGGAAGAAAACAACTGGAGAATTTTAAACTCGCTATGAATATGATCTATGACAAGTAAATTATTACTTATTTATTGTTATCAGTATCAGCTCAAGTCACAAGTTATTCAAATTAATCAAACTTTTGTGTGATTTAATTAAAGTTAATCTTACAGACACCGGCACTGGCAAAGATTTATGGGTAGGCATAGGCACACCATCAAGGTCCTGATCAGCATTAGCTGTTGATGAAGTGTGAGGTTCATCAAGTGGCATAGTTGTTAGTGGTGGTAAAGATAATTCTGCACTAAATGGTATTGATGAAGATGCTAAGACCAATGAATTGGGTGTGACAGAACTTGTAGTCTGCTCTGCCATTTTCTTTTTAAACATTTCTAAAAAGCTACCATCATTTTTAAATTGATTTTGTGCCATGGTTGGTGCTTGTTTGCTTCTATTGAAATGGGCATCCCTAATTGATGTCAACTTTGATCTCCAATCATGGCCAGTGATCCTTTCATTGCCAGTGTGCTGTACATCTTCTTCTCTACTTCTGCTTCGATCATTCCTTCTAGAATTTCTAGAGTCATAATCGTGCATCCCAATTCGGTTACTATAGCTGTAACTTCCATCGTCACTGTCGTCACTATCCTTTCTACTTTCTCTTTCTTCTCTTTTTCTGTTACGGCGTCTTTCTGATGGTGAACCAGAGCGGGACCTAGCTCTTCTGTTACTGCGGCTGTCGTCATAATCATCATCTCGACTTTTTCTATTGTTTCTGTCATCTCTGGAGCGTCTACTACTGCGACTACCTTCGTAACGATCAAATTTACGATTATTATCATTCCCTTCATCGCTTCGCCAGTTACGACTGTCATCCATTTTGTGTGTTTTACAGGAAAGGAAAAAAAAGAATAATAATAAAATTAAAAATTGTCTATCGCTACGTCAATCGGAAACGTCAAAACATAAATTGGGTACTAAAAAAATAATTAAATAGCAAACCTAGGTATGTGGAAGCTTGAATTTGAGAACAGGACAAAAAGATTAGGACGTTTCGGCATAGAGCCTTCTTCAGCGCACAGGGCAAATGAAAATATCACAAAGAAAAGAGCACAGTAAACAACTCAAGAAATATCCATTGTTGTCGCCGGAATGCAGTCCTTTAATAATTAATTATTATTAAAAAAACTAACATCTTCATTGAGCTCTTAACAAAAAAACAATATTCATGTGGCAATTATTTGCTTGTATAAAGCAGTTTATAAATGAAAACTTTTTTTATTTTAACGAATGGTAGCTAAAATTTATCTTTTATTATTTTATTTTTAATATTAGAAGAATAAATTTAGGTGAAATATTCATTATTATAGTTTATAGCTAATAAAGCCAGGAGGGCAAGGCTTATTTTTTAAAAGTCATGAGCAGTAAAAGAAAATGCCTTTTGGCAAATTTAACAACTAAATTAAAAGTAGTTGGATTTATATGAAGCATTAAACCAAATGTGCACGTTCACATGGTATCAAGAGAGCTTCGTTGCATCACAAAACAGCCTTTGTCTGATGCCAAATACTCATAATTATGAACCATGCATTGCAATCCTATAATTTATAGCATAAATTAATCAGCCTTTCTTAAACTGTGGTGGACTATCATGATCGTCATGACGTACCGTGCCGTTGCTAGTTAAAGTTGGCAAATCACCGATGTCAGTAGGGGCAATTTAAATCAGTTAAAACAGTATCAGTGGCCTAATTTATGTCCATGTACCCCCCTTAGCACTGTCCCCTATTTCAACCTAAATAAAAAGTAACAATAAGGTAGAGAGAGAAAGAAAGAAAAAAGTGAGGAGGAGAGTGTGGGGAAGGGCAAGAAAGAGATGAATTAGAGATTTTAATAATATGAACCGGAACTTAAACATTGAAATCACGTGACAACTTCACAAGTCACCATCTCAAAATTGATAGTTTACAGTAGTAACCAGGAAGTTCAGACGTGGAGTATTACACGTACTGAGTGTCATCGTGTAACGCCTTAAAATGCTATTTAAATCCTCGTGGCACAGTCAAAACAGTAAAATTGTCAGACAAACGTTAATATATGAAGCATGCTCTGCTAAAAGTGAAAAACATTGCAGTACTATTTTAACTTTTAAGTATTGGAAGTATTTCTCAAAATGTCAACTTTAACTTTAGTTGCTTTAAATTTAAACAATCAGTCACAACAACAAACTTTACTACTCAGCGATAGTGATATCAGTGAAACCCACCCACGTTCAATCTCATTTTCACCACATGAATATGGAAGGAAATTTGAAAATATAATTGAAGAGGATATTTCACAGTTTTTGGATTCTATTCAACTACTACTTTTGAAGTACAGCATGTATAGCAGGTCAACAAGTTCAAATTCTAGAGTAAGTTCAGGGGGCCTGCAGCAATTCATCATAAGAAAATTACAACAGAAATTTGGACAAAGTTATGGTGGCAGCTTAACACAAAGACTGAAAGCTCTGTATACCAAGGATGAGTCTGTAATGACTTGTGTCATCAGGGATTCAGATGACAATAGCTTCTTTCAGTATTTACCTGTAAGTTTTTCTATTTAAATTGTACAGTTATAGTTCTATGCCTAGCATAGTTTAGCATATACTTTATTTATTTTTCTTAGAAGCTGGAAACCTAAAGAATCAAATGAATAAAAATTATTATTTTGGAAAAGTGTTAAAAATTTTTGTTAACTTCATAATTTTGTTTTAAAATTAAATTTAGTTTAACCACTAGTTAGGTTAGATAGCCTAAATATTTTGTTCAATATTTTTTTTCTCCATGTAGGTTGATTTAAAACTGCAAATATTTTCATATCTTGATGCTCGATCATTATGTTTGGCCTGCTGTGTTAATCAAGAGTGGAGTCAGTTAACTTGTGATAACCTTCTCTGGAAACATTTGCTTCAACAAGACCTAACACGTTGGACACAAATATCTCATATGACAAATCCAAAGATGTATCAAGAAGTGAACTCAGAGTGGTCCCAAAAAGAAATGTAATTGTTGTTAACTTTAATTTTTTCCAGCAGTTCTAAGATGTTTTGTAGATGAAATAAGGAAGCATTGAGTCAAATAAATAGGAAAATATAATATATGATTTCATTTATTTCTATTATTTGGTGCATTCAAATAATATGGTAAAATTTGAATTTAATATTTGCATTATTTTAAATAGTAATTTAATGAATTATGTTTTATTTATAACATTTATTATTTAAAAATGTATATGTGTAATTTTTATGAGGATATCAAACTTGAATATATGCTGTAAGAACAAAAATCAGAATTGTGATACCAATTTATGCTGCTTTAATTTATATAATTTAGGAGTTTTAAGTCAGTTATAGCTTATAATAACCACTAGACTTAAACAGTTCTTTTTAAAATAAAGTTTTTATGATCCTAAGAAATTAATATTTTATTTTTATTCTTGCCAAAATATGGTTCCTTAAATTTATATATTGTTGGCAGATACTTGAAATGCTCTCCAGAGTTTCAAAAAAGTATGCGTCAGTCAAATTCAGCATTTCATCAAGTTTCTTCAATGCTCAAATATTTTGTGCCCAAAAAAGTGCCAAAAGTTGCCATGTTTGGACCAGGGCTTGAACAGTCCACAAGTGGTATCGTGAGACATATGCTGTATGAAGACAACACAATTTTTAATAGGATTGCAATGTTTCCAGGACAATTTGAGGGTGAGATCTTGGTATTTAGTAATATCTTTGAAATAAGTAAAGTAAATTACAGTTTGATTAATAAAAGTTATATTATATTGTCAGCCCATCAGTTTGATTAATAAAAGTTATATTATATTGTCAGCCCATTAACACAACCTAACATTTTCAAAAAATAGCACAAAATTTAATTGTGACTAATTGAGGATTATCTTCACACATTATTTTAAAAAAAATAACTATTCATTTCATTATTTCAGAACAGTGTGCAACGTAAGACAAAAACTGTAATAAAAAGATCATAGCACTTTGTAATATAACAACATACACATTTCATTAAAAATAGGAAAACAACTTCAGATAGTCTGGATTTCGACTGGATCTTACTGTTACTGTTATACAACCATTTCAGGTGTTGGGGGTGGAATGACCCTGAAATTACCAATGGGTCATTCTTTGCATCTATCAGTTTTGTATTCAGCCTCCAAGAATGAAAGAGAGAATAGAGGGGCACAGGAAAGAGTAGAAAAGAATAAGATGTTACAGGTAAAATTTAATTTATATTTTATCTAATTCGTAAGTATAGAATATGTGTTTTTTTCAAGAACTTAAATGTTATTTTATAGACAATTAATTAATTTATTGTGAAATTGTTAATTTTTTTTTAAAAATCACAACCATCTCATGAGACTAAAAATAGACTTTTAATCCCCTCTTCAAACACATTAAAAATAATTATGGGTGTAAAAAAAAAAAGTTAAATTTTAAAAAATATTTTTGTGTGACATAGATATTCCATTTTGATAAGTGGTCTGTATTCTAGACTTAACTGCAAATGAGAATTCAAGATTTTCTAATAATTGAGGAGTGAAACTATGTTAAATAAAACCACTTCTTTCCGTCATTTCTTAGAAACACGCTGGGCAGGTAGTAGCTGTAGGGGAGGAACCACAGTATGAACTGAAAACACAGATCAAACATTTGTGTCAAGTTTTAGATGGCTTCATCTTTGTTGTAGATGCATCAGAATCAAGTAAATCAGGTAATTTGTATATAGCTTTGCATACTTTAAAAAAATCTATTGGTGCATTTAAACAATAGTAGCTTATATTAAAATTGAGTAGGTTTAAAAGCTGTATTATAGCGCATTAAAATCAAGATCGGTTGAAATTATTACAGCTCTCAGAAGTAAATAGCTACATTCACTCTTTTTCAAAAACATTTTTTCAAATCTTCTCTTAAGAATTAATGAGCATTTATTGGTTGTCAAAATATTTTGTAATGATTTATCAAGAAAGTCTAATTTTCAATTAAAAAAATTATAACCCAACTTTATAACTTTTATTCATTCAGTTGAAAGTGGGCGTTGTGAACTGATGGCCATGGTTAAAGAGAGGCGTACAGCTCCACATGTACCATTGCTGGTGTTGTCTTGCATAAAAGAAGAAGGTTGCCAGCGAATGCCAGCAAAAGACATAGTTGAGCTTCTTCATCTTTCCACCCTTTCTCAACCTTGGCTGGTTTGTTTACATTTTCTTCTATTTATATGACCTTCATGATAAGCATGTATTTGGTTTATTTTAGAATCAAAAAGCCATCTGTAAGAATGAGATAAATTCTATGCATTATTTTAAAAAATAAATATTTGTTGACCTTTGACCCAGGTTTATAAGCTCTAAATCTCAAGTAAAGTATTTAAAAGTGTGAGTCATGAGTGGGATCTGATTTAATTTTTTTTTTTTCCATCTAATTTTCAGGTTATTGACTGTGTTGCTGACAAACTTGATTCAATAGTAGCTGGAATAGTTTGGCTCATTGATCAGTCACAATTTAGATGACCTATTAGGACAGTTTAGGATGTTTTACTTTCTTGCTCATTTCTACGATGGGATATACAACTTAATAATTAATCATTACAGATGAAATCACAAACCCTCTAGTTTTCCCTCTTAAGAAAAAAAATTATAAGCATTGGTGGTGATTTCATAGGACGGTCAGAAAATACAATAAACAGCCATTACTATTTTTGCACATGAAATCTAATGGTTTACATTGCATAACTTTTCATCTCTCAAAATGCTGACGATCTTGCATTTTCAGCAGAGCAAATTTTAAAAGAAAAAGATATCTGTTAGCTAGAATAATAGTTTTAATAAAGTCAGATACTATATCAGATACCAAATTGATGATGATTTTTATTTTGCAACAGATCAGATATTTGCTGTATAATTGTACAATTATTTATGGGCTTGAAAATTTTAAATAAGTAAGTGATTAGCATTTGGGTAATTTTTTTCACAAGCAGTTTCTACTTTATATTTAAGAGAAAGTGATTTTAATTGAATATATCCTTGTAATTTATTTTACTTTAATTCACTTTTTCATACAATATAACATCATCAAATTGCAGCACTATCAACACAATTAAAGCAATTTTAGTTTGCTAGCAGTAATTATTTGCAAAGATCTCTTGACTTGTCAGAAATGATTTGGATATTCAGAATTTATTTACTTGAATTATAAATGACAGAAAAAAGTGTTTTACAATGTATATGTTTACTTCCACTGCTGATCATGATGAGGAAGAAGAATAGCAAACCAAATGTTAAAAAAAGATGTAATTACACATCATTTTGATTTAAATGTTAAAAAGAAATTACTGTCACTTGGAAGTCAAAGTGCTCGTCAATGAAATATATTTTGCTGTTTAATGTTTGATAAATATTCAAAATATATTTATTTGAAACTACCTCATTTAAGATATTTATTAATTAACAAAATAATAAATGTTAACCTTTAATAATGATTAGCCAATAGTCAAATTCAAAGTTTTCGACATTGCCTTCATTAATGGAACAAAAAACATTACAATAATTAATTATTTACATAATATATATCACACAAACAAGAAAGAAAAGAATAAGATTAAGAATGGGCAAAAGTCCCAAATGAAAACAAAGATAAGAAGAACAGAAAGAAAGTGAGTGACAGTACAATATAAAATCCAAACAGGAAAGAGACATTGCAGATACCTATGTAAAAGTGTGAATTTGGTTTATACCATATGGAGTCAACATACAAATGTAGTTATTAATTTGTTTCCATATAAATTCTATCAGGTGTATTTTTAAAGCAATGTACAATATTCCATCATGGTTAGCACTGTTGAAATGTTTAGAAATGGGACAGAGTGTATTGATGTTGTACAGATGCTCTCTAAAATGGTCTCCTAGGCAATGACCTGTCTACCCTCTGTATGATTTTCCGCACTCTTTACAAAGGATGATTTTTTATTCTGAATATTTTGAGAGGGAAAGTGACTTATCAACATCAATCACCTAGGAACATGTGTTACAGTGACTAAGGTTGCAGCTTTTGGTGCCCATATGTGCTGCTATTTCCTGGGCAATTGTGTGAAGATGACCAGTTTCAGAAATTAATTTTGATATTTCGTAATAGCCATTGAAAGGTTTTAAGATTCAAACGCACTGGTAGTTTAAATTCTCTCATTTTATTTATGAATAAATCATCTGGCTCATTAATGCATTCTAGGATGTTTTATTACACATTTAGCGTTTATCGGTTTTCAAATTAAACACAATCAGTAATCAAAAAAGAAAAAGTACCCCCCCCCCCCTTTTTTTTCTCTCTCTCTCTGAACACTTTATGTAAGTGAGCTGGCAGGGCGTGGGTGACAAAAACAAACCACAAAACATGACCATTTGAGAAACGCTACCAATATTTTATGAACATGTATTCAGAAAGACCTTGAGTTTTATTTTAAATTCATGGTCTTACTACACTTATAAATATATGTGTACTTTGATCTGATCTCTTTCAAAAACAAATGTTTCTGTTTGTGCCTTTGGTTTATTAACGTTTGTAAAAATAAATGCTTGTATACTTAATGAAAACTTCAATGAATTAAAATGTTTGAAATATTTATTTGTAATGATTTGTATGTTGTTACTAAATGAATTGTTAAAGTACTATAAACAGGGTAATATATTTATCAAGACTTGTATTCATGGAGAAATCCTTACAAATAAATGTTCAATACTTTAATTATCTTCAATTACATATTTTATTTTTATATAATATATTTGACTTTCCAATCATTCATTCCAACACTTGACTTTCCAATCATTCATTCCAACACATTGGGAATCATAAAAGAACCAATAATATTTCTTATCAAATTTTATTTATGATCAATTCATTACAAAGCACTCACACAACAGATGCTCTAGCCTTCATAAGGCATAAACATACCATATTCCCATTCACCAAAGTAAGAGCCTATGTACAACATATCTGGTTTGCACAGTCCCATGAACTTCTACTTATTCAGGTTTCTTCAAAGACAGGTACAGTTTCTTGTTAATAGTCCTTTTTTCTGGGTTAATTTTCTTCAAAAGCTGTGCAATAACATGCGTGATTTTCTCATTACTCATGTTTAACTTCTTTGATTTGAACTTCTGCAGGAGACCTTTGGTTGTCATTGGTTTTCGCATCAGGTATCTTCTTATAGCATCTTCTGTGATACCATCACTGCTGAAAAAAATAAAAAAATTATATATTAAACAAACATTTTAAACATGCATAAAAATGAAGAGATATAGAAAGGTGTCAAGTGATAGACCTATATAATTCTGAGATTTTTTTAAAACACTTACCTGTCTTCAGATTTATGTTTCTTTACTGGCTGTGATTTTCCATCAGATGATTCTGCCTTTCTCTTTACAGCTGAAAAATAATAATACACTTTTGATACAAATATCACTAAAAAAATATATTGCAGCTTTGACTGCTGAGAACTTTTGAACGATTTATAAACATGTAGTTCATTTCTAGACAAAATACTTTTTTTTTGAAGGCTCAGGGATATAAGCTTAAATTTAAAGCTGATATTTAAAATAATACATATTATACTTCAGATTATTTAATTTAAATCCCTTACATTTCTCTTTAAGCTTGTCTGGAGTTGGTGTGCGACGGTCTGCTTTTTGACTCGATTCTCCAGCAACAGATGTTTCTTGTTTTTCTCGTTTCTCCTTCTTGTCTTTCTTTCCTCCCTGTTATGTGTATACAAATGAAGTCTTGGAATTTTTTTTTTTTTTTAAATTTTTCAAGATATTTTGATTTTTTTTTTTTTTTAAGAAAAATTTCAAAATTTGCCAGTTAATTGTTTCTTTTTTTTTTCTTTTCTTCTTTTTTTCTTTCTTTTCTTCCTTTTATGTTTATACTAATGAAGTCTTGGAATTTTTTTTTTTTTTAAATTCTTCAAGATACTTTGATTTCTTGTTTTCTTTAAGAAAAATCTCAACATTTGCCAGTTAACTGTGTTCAATGGCAAATAAACACTGGCAGCATATGAATACACTTTTTGGCTGGTTGATTGTTTGCATGCCAATAAAATAAAAGCATCGCGTAATCAAATTTGTGAATAATGTTTATCAAAATCAGTGACTGCTAGGTTTAAGACAAAGCCATCTTTTTGTTGAGCATGTTTGAAAATGGTAAAATTTAGGATATATTTTACTTGAACTTTAAAATTTTGAGGTGATGAATAGGGAATATTTTGAAATATAATTTTCTTTGTCACAAACAATGTTAATATTGGAATTTTACCAGGAGTGAAAGACTATGTATAATTATTTACAAGTTAAAATTTCATACCTGTAAAAATATTGCAGAGGCAAGTTTTGCATCTTTCTCTAAATCAGAATCATCCTCTGAACTAGAGCTACTACTGTCATCATCTGCTGGCAGAGTCATTGTGGAACATAAATCATAAATTCACATTTTTTGGAGATGGGCTTTTCAGAAAAATGTTTTAAAAAAATGCACTTAGAAAAAAACAAAAAAACACCCAAGCAGATCCTCAACAAAAGCTTTTGAAGTATATGACAAAGTTACAACTGATACAAGGGCCGGACAATCAAGGCTAAATTATAAATATAACTTGCTTTTGCTTAATTTATCAGATCATTCAAAAGTTAATTGGGTCTAAAAAGTGTTTCATGGGTTATGCTGCTGTAAAACAACTAGGGTATAATAACTACAATGAAGTGTGTTCAAAGTACAAATTAAGAACATGTTTAACAACCTTTCTTTTTCTCTTCTTTCTTTTCTTCTTTTTCCTCTACTTCTTCCTCCACATCTTCCTTCTCCCCCACTTCCTCATCTTCATCTTCCGCATCAGAGTCAAGAATATTCCGCAAACCCGCCTCCTGGTCAACCCCCTTTTCATCATACTTCTTCTCCTTTTCATCCTCCGCATCAAGGCCAGACAAACTGCTAGAGCTCCCTGTGTCTGACATGTAGTCCACCTATTATCAACAAGAACCAAATTAAAACTTATTAGCCAGTATCAAGTATACACAACCCTCAACTATGTAATTACTTAAAAAAGACAGCAGTGACATTATATCTAGAAATTGTTTCATGAAAAACAGGAAGTAGATTTGAAAACAGTATTAAATGGTAAATAATTAACATTTCAATAGTGATAAATTGTCACGTACACTTGGCTTAAGGTAATCTTCTAATTTTCAGAGTGTCATTGCCAACCATTCTTCACAAAATAGATTTATAGATGTTATTTCAAGTTATAAATTAATTTCCTCATACCTCTTTGTCATCAAAATCACCTTCGTCACTTTCTTCAACTGCTTCATCATCAGAGTTTTTCTTTGAGTTTTTTACTGCTTTCTTCGGACCACCTTTTGGCTTCTTTTTCTTTGCTTTGCTACCTAGCAAATATTATTAAAAACATTATATTTAAAAGATAGTAGGTAACTATTATATTAAGTTTTGGAAGATAAAAATTACATATATTCAACCCAATTTTATCAATTAAACCCATGTTTGCTTAGTGCCTTGCATACCTCTAAATTAAAATTTTTAATGTTTTCTGTGTGATTGGAACCTTATGGGTAGTCTTGTGTACTTATCAAATAAAACCAGTATATAATTGTTTTATCACTTGTTGACAGAAGATTTCCCCATTAAGATTACTGGATCATTGAGTTGATCTTCTTTCAAACAGTGACAAAACAAGCACATTAAGAATGATAGATATTATTGAATACATCATTCATATTGACTGTGGTACTTTTTTTTTTCAAAGCTTTAGCCACAACTAGGTGTTTGCAAATAGATTAGAACAAAAGATGTTTTTAAAATTCTACAGCAACAACCTGCAGATCTAATTGTAATAAGTGCAGCTGAAAAAGGCCAAAAGTAAAAACTCCCGTTTTTACATAATGAGCCATACATTTATATTAAATTGCTGTGGTCACCTACCATCTTCATCCCCTTCTTTGTCCTCATCATCATTGTCATCATCATCATCATCATCTGACACATGCATATCATCCCAGTCTTCAAACTGAAGGAAAAAAAATATTTTTTTTTAATATGAGTGAAAATAAGAATGGGCATTTTGTGATGTTTCTTATACAGTGATAAAAATTTATCAGAGATGTCCTATGACTTTTGGAGGCCCCCTGAACCCCGTAAATTATTTTCCCCATGCATTTGAAGGTGATAATGTTTTGTTTCTTCACATCAGAACTTTGGGCCCCTGAAATATCCTAGGTTTCAGGGTCCATGCCATGGCTCTGGAATTGATAGGATTTTAAAATAAAGGTTTATATGAATGACAAAATGACAATCGAAAAGATCATTTCATTCTTTTTCAAAAATTTATTTCCAATAATGGCATGAACACTTTTGAACTTACAAGGTCCTTAGTTTTCTTTGATTTTTTCCCACCTTTCTTTCCTTCTTCATCATCATCTCCATGATCCTCTTCTTTCTTTAATCTTTTTTTGACCATAATACTGAAGAAGTTTAATGTCTTGTCTCTCCTAAAAAAATATTTAAAATCCCATCAATAAATAAATGTAAAATTATGAGAATTTCCAATAATAGTTTCTTATTAAAACAAGCAGGAACATTCTAAAATACCTGCTGTATTCTTCTTCTGCTTCTTCCGAGTTTAGATATTTATATCTCAGAACCGGGCTGAAGTTGTACCACTCTTCCACGGGAAAGGCTTCAAATGCTCCATCTGAAGCTTTTGTGAAAATGTAGTAGGATGTGTTTTCTGTAATTGTACCCTCACGGACACCTTTATATCTTAGAGACAGGGGGAAAAAAAATATCAGAATTACATCCTATAACATTTATATTAGAAATAATTTTTTATTCATAAAGTAATTTCTTACTTTTTATACAATATTTTCACACCAGAAATTCTAAATGTCTTCCAAACCCAGTGATATTAAATTTTAAAATCCATAATAAACTACTACCATAAATTAAAATGGTGGATTGAGAAGATTTTCTTTCCTGTAAGTATTTCCCACTAAATTATATTACATACCTCTTAGCTTGTTTCCCACTTCCTATTTTCAGGTGCCAAGGCTGGTCTTCTGGGTTATATTTCTTGAGCATGATTCCATACTTTTTACGTCTTGATTCTTCCTTTTGGTCTCTGCCATATTCACTGCCTGCTCCAAATTTGGGTAGCATATCAAGATCATTTGCCGTTTTATATTCTTTCAGATTGTTTTCTCTTTCTATTTTAACAGGCTGCTGAAGTCAGGACAGTAATTCATTTGTTAATTAGGTCATAGTGTACATGTTTAAACCGCAAACCCCACTTCAATAATTCAATTTTTAGTATACTGCAAATATTAATCTGTGCCACTTCAAGTGGAGGAGGTCTCTTTAAAAAAAAAACCCACTAAACATGAGATTTAGCAATACTAAATCTACTACACTTAGACCTATTTATACTTTTAATACCTCCATATTGAGGCTGAAATTATTTTTTGACTTGGGTTAAAATAGATGGTGTTTTCTAACTGATTTTTAACTATTTTTCAATTTCTTAATGACAGTAAGCATACCTCGCCAATTTTAGAAAAATCTACAGACGATCCTGTCCCAAACTTCATCATAGTGAATTTTCTTCTCGTGTCTCTGGTTATAAAAGTAAAATAAAATATGGATAAGCATAACGAACATCATCTATCAGAAAATATCAGTAATCTTGATATTTTAAGTTCACAATTTAAAAAAAAAATTTATTTAAAATGTCAGAATACTGTGACAACCAGGACAAGTAAATGAAGATTACATAAATGACTAGGAAAATTTATATCTAATAGGAAAAGAGTATTATTAAATTACACTTCTGATCTAACAGCCATTTTCTTCATAAGCTCTTCAGCTTGAGGCCATAATGAAAAATGTACAGGTTCCTCAGTTTTTCTTTGTATTGCTCTAGTCTGGCAATTGTTATAAGTAGTTAAGGCACATATCATGCAGGGCTGGGTAGTGAAAGAGGGGATATGACTCACTTATAAGATAAGATACTTTTATTGATTCAAATAAATGGAATTTTTTATTTTTTTTTATTCATTGTATATATTTGTTTCAGTCTTGAAATTCCTTGTTTGAGTTTTTTGTTGTTCCTTAAAATTAGTCTGTAGCAAGACTTTCATCAAATAAAGGTGCGTTATAAATAACTGTTGAGTTCTTGAATGTGAGTTGAACAGAGTCTTTGCTTTTTGATTGAACGGAGTTCTCATTTTTCATCTTACAAGATCTTGGAAACTCCTCATTTTTGTTGCCTAATTTGTGTTTGGATGATTGTCATATGCCAGAAAATATAATTTGGAATGAGATAAAATGAAAGGTACACAAAAAGATACCATATTAGTATATCAGTCAATCTGACATGTCTCAAGACACACTGCATGTTTTCAGAGAGGTTGGTGTTCTGTCAAGTTTTATGTTATTGAGGTGTGAAGTAAGTTAGTTGTGATCTGTATGCTTGTGACAGTTAATGACTTGTTATTATCTTTGGAGGCAACGGGGTCTTTGTGATTTTGACTAGGCTGTGTGCAAACAGAGCATCATTATAAGGCCATAGCAAAACCATATAATCATATTTTTTTTCCAGAGTATCCATTAAGCTTAAGCTGTAACAAGTATTACAATTTTTTTAGAATTATTATATTGTACCTTGGAATTCTAACTGTAAACTCTTCTTGTGATATACTTGAAGGTGCACTAGGAGGTGCATTTTGCTGAAAATAAATATATAATTAACGTTTTGAACATTTAAAAAAGTATACCAAACAGTAATAATATAAATAATTTAATTTTTAGTTGATGTAGAAAAATCTCAAAAGCTATCCCCATGTGATGTTACCTCATTTTAACAAAATGAAATAATTTCTGGAAAATTCATAAAATTGCCTTGAGACGTTAAGTAGCAAAATAATAAAATGTACATAATTAATAAAATGTTAATTTTATATTTTATTCAGCTTACATTACATAACTATATATAACTGGATATAACTATAAATTTAAGACTTAGTATAATGCACTACAAAGAATCATTTGGCCAAAAAAATAATTTAACTAGCTATCCAGAGGAATAAGTGAATAAGAGTAGTGGCAATAGTGAAAGTTATCAAATGATCAATATTCATGTTGGGTATGAAGATTAGCCTTGCTAGTTGTATGGGTGCTGGGTGGCCAAGTGATCTAAACTGATTCAATCCCAAGCTTGTGGACCGGAGTAACTGGAGCTCAATCCCCAGAAGAAGCCTAGACATGCAAAAAAAAAGCACCACCAGAACCCAGGGTAAACTTGGAGGGCAACTCATCTAAGAGAAGGCAAACTCTGAGATCAAACCTGGAGAAGGAGTCTTGTGGGCGGTATAACATTAAAACAAACATAATTACGACAACTCCTGTGCTGTGGAATGCATACCTATGCTGTTGAAAGTATAGAGCAGCGAAATTAAAAAAAAGGAAAAATAAAACACTGCTGGTCATCTACTGCATCAATGTCTATCTCCAGTCATTTTGACTAAGTCTTGCCTTGGGATCAAATAGGCAGAGAGAGTAGGGCTGAAAAATTGAGCAACTCTACTCAACTTTAAAGTAATTACAGCTGACGTTAAGGCTCATACTTGGGTCATCATTAGTCTCTGCATGTGAAGAACTAACAATAATATATATTAATATTATTGGAATAGGGCTAATGTTGGTTCAGCGCACCACTCTGAGTTTCAGTGTAGGATTTCCTCCCTTTTATTTATTCTTGGATTGTTACTAAAGTTATCTAAGTTAACTTTTCATAACATTCTGGCACACGGCACACCAAACCAAAATTTACCATGGAATAGAGTCTATTCACAGCTTCGCTCCTCTGCAGACACGCATATTCTGTCCATTCCCAAGACACACACTAAAACATATGGTGAACACCACCCAGGCCTTCAAAACTGCACTCAAAACACATCTCTTTAAACTATACTACCCTAACTGATTCTCCTCCTCTGACCGATAAATGATCGTGTTGGCTGCCGTCCATGGTTTGCTTTGTAAAAGAAGTCTTGGGGTTCATGCTGTTCTTTACTTCATAATTGTATTTGATTTTAATGTCATAATTATGTCTCTTTTGATAATATTTTTATGTACAGCGCGGTGAGCCCAGCTATAAAAGACCACTAATTATTATTATTATTATTATAGAGTCTACAGAGTCTAATTCTAATTTGATTCTTGTTCCGCCTTGTGTAGTGACATTATGAGGCAAATTTAAGATTAACTAATATTAACTTGATCACTAAGACTTATAAGTCTAAGACTAAGAGACATACTTAGAACTTACTACTATTTAAAAAGTAGGCTACATAATAAATTGTAAATTGAATTAAAGGAGTTTAAACCGCTGCAACAACATTTTAAACAAGCTCCTCACTAATAATACTACTACAACTACTTGGCTACTACGACCAGTCTCTAATAATGAGTAATAATATGAGTTGATATGAATGAGTAGTACTGGCGCCTGCGCTGACTCGCTACTGGTCTAGAGTGCTTACTGCTTACTTACTAACTTAGCCTAGGACAACTACTAGTCTTGAGTCTAAGAACAAGAAACCTGCTAGCTTAGCGAGGTAGTAAAAGCAAAGGAGTAAAGGTACATTTAAGGAGGCCTACTTTATCCTCCTAAGTCATCGCAGTTAATATTTACAAGGCAAGTGCCCTAAACAAACCTGAAATGAAGTCATTGTCGTTTTGACTGTTTTATCAAACTACAAAGCAGCTGTCAACAAGCTCTTTTATAAATAAGGTCAGTGAAGTACTAACATAAAAGATATAAAAACTAAAACATGCGTGTTTTATAGGCCATTTTCTTATTTTCACGATATAAAAAAAAATTCTTTAGGCCCACAATTATTCCTCTCAATTTTTAAGACAAAGGAAATCTCGTTGATTATATATTATATAGGCCATGTAAGGAGAATGGGGGAAGGCTGTATTCCAAAGAATCTGCTTTATGGAGAGTTGGCAGAAGGGACGAGACTTATTGGACGCCCACGGGAGCGATTTATGAACGTTTGTAAAAGGAGCATGACGGTAGCCAACATAAATTTTATAAAGAAGCTAAAATTTTAATGTTAAATGTGCATTTTGCTGATATTACATATTGGTTGTACATAATAATAATATGGTCATTTTAGAGTCGGTAGAGGACGTAGGGCAAACTTTGCAAAGTGTAAAATATATTACGTTTTAATATTTACGGGTCATTTATTGATATTACACACACACATAAATATATATACGACTTCCGATTTTCAAGTGGCTAAAAGCCGTGGATGAATTTTAATGTTTGTCATTTTAAGCACCTAAGAATGGGATTTTAATAAATATAGATCTAATTTATTTTGACACTTTCAGTTTTATTCATATCAATTTAATACTTCATCCTTCTCAAAGTTGAGTCAAAGCACAACATCCATCTAATGTTAAAAATTACAAAACTTAAAGAAAATACTGTTCAACTTAAAGATGGCTACATATTAACGAATAACCACTATCACTAGGCAGAAATTAGCCACAAAAAGTCCTATCTCGGCCTTTGAAGAAAGATCCTAACCATAATTTTTAAAAAATGCTACATATTCAGCCCTCAGGGCCTTAGCTAATACTTAGTAAAAGATGGGAAAGGGTACATTTTCCATGTTTGTCAATGGTTAGGGGCGAGCGTGGGCGTTACGCTAACGTATATTATGTGATTTGGTGGAGGTGTGGCAGTCAATATTTGTTTAAACCTTTGAATGATAATTTTATTGGTTTTTGTGGACATTGGACTGATCTACCTCATAAAAACTTTCTAGTTGCAAGAACAGGAGCAACGGGAAAACTTCGATTGTGTGTGCCAGGGTCGATACCTAAAAAATGGTTCCTCCACGTTTCATCAATAAATGACATTTGATATATGCAATAGCCTTTATCCCCCACCCAAGAGCGGCTTTTATATAGAAAAAAAACATAACCGGAAAACGACTATAAACATACATCCAAACAAAACAAATACCAAGGAGTCGGCCTAATATTTTGTATATGCCTTATCAGCTGCGTCAGTAGGGTTGGTTCCACCCAGTGCAGTAAACTCTTGGTGTCACCCTTCCAGACTTCCCCGTGTACCTCCTCCGAGTCAGCCTACTCTGGTGACGCAATGTTCCGGAGGCAAACTTCTCTGGTGTCACCGTGTTCTGTGTGCAACCTGCTCCAGTGGCAACCTGGTGTGGTTGCCCCCCTGTTCTAGTGACACCCTGCACTGGTGCTAACCTGATCGGACTAAACCTGCTCTTGTGGCAATGTGCTCATGATTTTATTAGTTCTGTTTTTTCACCCCCCCCCCAATGGGCGCCCGCAGAAAACTTTCTGGGGGGGGGCAAAAAAAATCGATTAACTTTCCGGGGGGGGGGGGGAAATTTTTCCCCCCCCCCCCCAAGGGGCGCCCGGAGAAACTTTTTTGGGGGGGGGGAAAAAAAAATCGATTAACTTTCCGGGGGGGGGGGGGCAAAATTTTGTTTAGTAATGTTTTAAAATAGTTTTAATTTACTGTAGCGTATTTGTATGTTGAACGAACGGACAGGACATCAGCTTAGTTACTTTCTCTTTATTTTCTCTTTGCTTTAATACATTTTTTTTCTATTTTTTTCTAAATTTATCCAATCAATCCAGGGGGGGGGGAAGTGCCCCCTTGCCCCTACCTGCGGGCGCCCATGCCCCCCCCCCTTTATAATTTTTACTATATTCTTATCTGGTGTACCCGGAAGCCATAAGTGTGATAATACTGACCAAACAAGCAGATTTTTAAAGTACAAATTAGACTTAATTTAAAATACCGAAAGACCACCTTTCTATATCACATCTGTGTTGTTTACTCAGGGTGGGTTGGGAAACAGTTGCGTTGATTTTTCTCAACTGTTCGGTATCACGGGTGACGTTTGTGATTATAAAAATCTGTTGTGACACATTTAAACTATATTATTAAAATTGTGTGGATTTCCTTCGAGTTCAGATATGAGACAAACGAAAAGATTCTTTTGGCAAGTTTCGTACATAAATATGTTACATTCTCAGTAAAATTAAACTTGTGTCAGATAATGTGCCGCAGGATGTCAAATGGGAAACGATGTTCAAACTCATATGGTGCATGGCGCCCTGGGTGGAACCAGAGTGGAGCATCCGTCTCAGTGGGATATTCATCCCTCGCGGGTTTGACTTTATAGTATACACTGGAATTTGGATGCGCTCGCTTCTGGTCTCAACCTGCTTCACGAGATGAGGTGTACTCAGAAGGTGTGTGTGTGTGCATGTGGGAAAAGAGCTAGCAAATAAGTGAAAAAAAATGCAGTGGCGTAGCTAGGGTTAGTGCGAGGTGGGCAGCCTCCTTCCATGAAAAAATTCTGCAGTAGGCAGAAAATGCCGTCCCTCAATATAAAGAAAAAAATTTCCAACTGGGGCGGAAAGCCCCCCTCGCTCCGCCCCCATTCCTGCGTCATTGGTAATATGTGGGGAAAAGTAAGCCAAAGCAAAAAATAACGAATGAGTCGTACGATAAATTAAAAGAAAAAAGTATATATGATTTTTACAAATTACATTAGTAACATGTCATAAACAGTGCAGGATTATGCTGAAGGCAAATGAGGCACGTGACTACGGGCCCTGCGTCATTTGAAGCCCCCCGGGGAAACCCAAGTGCCCCCTGGAACAAAAATATGTCCAACAATAAATCAACAGGCACTGCTGGCACTGCCCCCCCCCATCCCCGAAAAATCTGAAGTCCCACCCCCAGGGTAAAATTTATGAAATAATCACTGCGTACAATATTAAAGGAAAATAATATTTAGGCCTACGTCATTTCAAGAAAATCATCTTAATTATTCACAGGAGGAAAGTGGGGCAGACGGTGAGAGCGCGAAAGGCTACCAAACGAAAGGCTACCAAACAAAAATGAGGAGGGATGATCGACTCCCCTAAAAATGTTAGATACATTCAAAAGAAAGGGTTGCAGTTTATTTCAGACAAATTAATCCGTGGAGGGGACATTTCAGGGGGACAGAGTATCTATCAGTTCGCAAATTAGGTACTAGGGCATCCGGCGCCATACATAACTTGGATTCACTCTGCTTGTGGCGCATCCTAGGATATTATTTTGGCCCCACGCAGTTTCTCCTCCATGCTGTCACATTGAACGGCATGGGAGAGGGGGCTAAGCAGACATCGAGGGCGTCGAAGGCTCCTGAGCGAATGTAATGTTTGGGATGGGGGATTATTGAGTCCTTCCCCAGAAAAGATTTGATAAATTCATTTAAGCACAAACCTAAATTTAGTTTTGCACCATTCCGCACTTAATCGGTGAATAACAAAATGTAGTTGTCTCTCAACCTGTTTGTGTTAATAAAAATGCTATATTTTAAAGTGGTACTAAAATACCGTAGTATTGTTATTTTATTTCTATTTAAAAAAACATTTTTTTTCGGAGATGCCTGAAAATAAACACTAGGTGGTGCCATGACGCTTGCAATTTTCTAGATGGTTCGAGATCTCCAGTAGCGTGGGCTAGACTATCTACAGCTTAAACAGTGGTGGTACTATGGTTAGTTTCACCTGAGGCAGACCACGATTTTTTTTGCAGCCCCACCCCCCCCCTTTTTTTTTTCCCTTGAACAAAAAACTATGCTGCTGGGCAAAATGCCACCCCTCCATAATACTCCCTCGAAAGAAGAAAAATTAGCGTGGGCTATACTATTTACAGCTAAAACAGTAGTGGTACTATGGTTAGTTTCACCTGAGGCAGACCACGATTTTTTTTGCAGCCCCACCCCCCCCCTTTTTTTTTTCCCTTGAACAAAAAACTATGCTGCTGGGAAAAATGCCACCCCTCCATCATACTCCGTGTAAAGAAGAAAAAAGTGCCACTCGGGATGGATCGCTCCTTCTGCACCCCCATTCATTAGACTAGGCCATTGAGCTGAAATATAAATTGAGATTTCGAACAAAATTATGCAAGTTAATTTTTACTACTATTTTTTTTTCTTGACAGTGCATAGATTAAAAAAATCTGGTAAAATCAACATGGCCTCATTACCCTGCCTTCGATCGCAATACTCTGTCTACTACGGTCCACACTTCCTTGCCTATGGCCACTAGGGCCTTGTGAGTTGAGACTTTTTTTTTTAATTCAAGGGATGAGAATTTCGGTTTAAAATTTTTTTTGGCATTCTCCCATGACTTAGCCTACTTTTTACATCTACCCATTTTGTTTCATGGAAAATTGCCAAAGAAACATTTGCGTATTGTCGAAAGGAAGTCAGTGAACTGAGGGTTTTGCCACGCGGTAACACAGTTTGCATTACATTAGTACAGGAAGCCTACATTATTATCCAACTCTTTCAGCCTTTGTTCAAAATGAATCTTTTAAAACGTACTCTAACTGTTAAACAATTAATTAAATCAAGACTAATAAATTATTAAGGTGACAATGTAACATTAATTTATATTATTTACAATATTGAATATTATTGTACTATTTAAGAATTTAAGACAATTTAAGTAAGTTAACTTTAACGTCGACCGTTACCAGTGAACCAGTCACCATGTTTGCACTGATCACTGTTTTTTTTTCCAACCCCCCCCCCCCCCCCCCTCTCTCTCTCTCTCTCTCTCGTTAATGGATGGTTCATATTTGATAAAATGAAGGTCCTCATTTTAGGAATAATGTGGTACTGGTGTAGTAACATATGTAACTAGGTAAATGCGTAATGGATGGGTGGGATTTTCTTTGTTCATCTATGAGCCGAGTGAATGTAAACATATATCACGTGACAGACGCTAAACTTATGCATGACACATTTTCGACCAATGAAAAATAAAACTCACTTTATGTATATCCAATCAGAATTTAAAATTTATTTGCTGCTGTTTGGTGTTAATTACCATATGTTGATAAACAGTGCGCAGTTGAGCCATAACTAAGCACCAGAACACCAGAATTAGAACGATTAGTCTAAAACAACGGATGAAAACACAGTGGTAAAATAATTTGTTACTTAATAAGTGCTACTTGTTCACTATCAGTTAGACATTTATTTAGCACCTTGCAATATGCCATTCATCGGTAGAGACTGGAGATCACCAGGCGATCAGTGGGTGCGAACAACTGAAGGATGGGAAAGAATGAGACTTTGGCGAGTCAAGATTTTCGAAAATTTGAATCAAAACGCTGTTGCAAGGTAGTAAAATAATTATGTCTGTTTATTGTGCACTGAAAGTCTACGCTTCGGAACGGTGTTACTTTTCTATTAACTCCTTAATTTAATAACTTACCGTTCATGAAATATAGTTTCCATTCTTAAAAATTAAATTAAAAATAAAGTATTTTGAACATTTTACCACATATCATGGGCATGGGTCATCCGCTATCTATTAACTTTCTCTTTATAATTTATTAAATAATTCAAAATTATTTAACAAAGTTGCGCTGAAAGGGTACAATTTTTTCTTATATTTTAACTTAAAGCTAACTTTAAAAAATGTAATAATAATCTAGATAGATAGGCAGGTAGGCCAATGTAAAGAATATAAATGTGTGTGTAATATCACCATCAATGCAGTCCATGAGAGTCAATGGCGCTACATCTCATTGAGTGCTCAGGCCTAGTTCACCATGTCCATACAATACAATATCCTTCTACATAGACATATCCATGTTTTTTGTGATTTTGCTCCATGCACACTCTTCCAGCTAATCATGGCTAAAATAAAATGTAAATCCAACTGGATAACATTCTAGGTGGCCATCCATAAATCCTGTCATTGTCAGGCACAGCCATAGTTTTTATTTTCTCCTGACAGTGTCATTAGCTCTGCAGCACAACTGTTTGGAAGGGAGGGGGCCCTTCACATCCCTCAGTGTTGGTACCTTTGTTTTAGGTTCAGGTTCCTAGCCTTTGTAAATCCCTTACCGAGTATGAGGCAAGAGTGGGGGACTCTTTTTATATTTCCCCAGTACAGCTAAACCTGGTTGGCGTTCCACCATATATGTCCCCTGTAGTTGCCCAATGAGAGATCAGCCACTCCATACAAAATATTAATAACTAAACATAATATAATAATATAACATAACTACTATAGTATAATTTATATCAAGGCAAATTTTTAGACTCATAGCACAATTCCACCTCATAAAAAGAATGATAGTGAAATTTAAAAAAATGATTTGATTGGTAGATATCTCTTTAGTTCTGCTATTTTCTTCAGAGGACCTCTTTTTCAGTTTGTAGAATTTGCAGAATTTTTAGCCAATAGCTGTGCACATATTTAATGAAGTATGCAGTTACCAGGGGTGTCATTTCAGGGGCTGTGAGGCAAATTGATTATGAATAGTGACACTCAAGAGTCTGAATGTTTGCAGGCAAATTACTTTTGTAATCAAGAAATTTGCTATGGGTCCAGAATATAGATAAGGTTTGGAAATCTCTAGTTAGACTATCTGAGTATGATATACATCTGGTTTTTTAATTAAAAAACAAATATTTTTCAGCTAATTTGATTGAATAATTCATATTTGTATATATTTTTCGAATACCCCTTTTCTTAAAGTTAAAGAAAAAGGGGACAAAATACTTGTATATTCATTCATTATAAAAAAAAATGAAGGAAAAAAAAAAAAACTTAGGTAAAATAAGGAAAGGCGTTTGATGGACTAGATGAGGTTAACACAGTTAAATTTCACCACTGAAATTTTTAATACATGTCCCAGCTACCCTGCCCTTGGAAAAGGGTGCCATTCTACAATCTGTTGATGGTACTGATTAAAGATATGCTTAATCAAGTTGAGAGCTTTCATTATTTAATTCTAATAAATAATAGAAACCTATGATAATCAAATTATTGAAAAAAATATTTGTTTTACCTTACTTTAAAATAGTATTACTTTGTAATTTCAGAATAACACGCCTTGCTATAGAAGACCTGCATTTCACCAAAGGAACAACTGAAATTACAAGTAGGAGACAGCCATATATATTTTTCAACAATGGCTCATCCAAAGAAGTAACTATTAATTAAAAATAATTTAATTAACAAAATAAACACCTATTATCATTGTATTTAATTTGATATAAGAAATTATAGATTAGAGAAAGGAATATTTTATTTTTTTATTTTTCAGCTGAAATTTCTAAATGTATTATTATGTTAATGAATAAACATGATTAAATTGAAAAGTAGCATACAAAAAAAAAAAAACTTAAGTTATTACTGAGTTATATTAATTTTTTTTCCACTTGCAGAAATTAGAGCTGACATCACTAAGTGAAGCTTTAGTTAGATTAGATATGACTGGTGCTGCCAGAGACATCAGCAGGGCAAATTATGTGACTAAGGTAATTTTTTATTTCTTAAAGTCTGGTAAGCTTAGTAATTTAAAGTTTAAAAAAAAAATCCCAGAATTTATTTTTCACACCAGTCACAAGTTATTAAATCCTACATACAACTTCCCTTCAATTAAACATCTAAAAATACTTAGTGTTGAAGTCAGATAATTAGAAAGTATTTAAATTAGGTTCCAAAGAAAAATAATACAATTGACAATGATTGACAAGTCATAGTATTTCAAAAGAGATTGCAATGTTACTTTTAGCTTGGAATAAAAAGCATTTAAAGAAAAATCTTAAATATTATTTCAATTTCAGCTAATGACATTAATCTTGGAGAAAAAATTGCCAGCCCTAAGTGGGACATCTCAAAAGCTTGTATTTAATATACTTGAGTCTATGGTCTATGAAGGTATGAACTGAAGTATTTGTATGTTAGTAATGAATTGTTTATAATTGATCTATTTAAAAATTTTGTTTTAATAATTTGGTTCCATGACAAATGCACCCATGAAAAACATGCTAAAAAAACGCAGCACACACATATAACTGCGTGACGCAAAATTCTGCGCACACAGAAAATTAAACAAACTGTAATTTTTAAAAATGGCAGTTGAAAGATTTCGGTTAGTTACCAGCATAAAAGAAAAGGTGGCAATTATGAAAGGCAACATATAAGCATTTTAAGCATTTCAGAGAAGAAAAATTAAAAATGGGTCATCCATATCTGACAAATTTTTTAAACTCTACAATTATATTAAAATTTAAAAACAAAATATTACATTTAAATTTCTATTTCGCAAAGAAGAAAATTATAATTGTTTTTCTTTAAATTGACAGTAATTCTACTTTAAAATAAATTTTTTGATGAATAAAACGATTCACATCATTAGAGTATAGAGACTGACTTGGAGCATATTTCCTAAACTTTAAATCGGGGGTGCCCAACTTGTGGGTCACATGCCACATAAAAAAATTTGTTGCCCGCAGATTCCATACTTATCATGAATAAAACAAATTCATTCTTCATTCAGTCGAATTTTATATTTAAAAATTAAGTGAGTGAAAAGATATACAAATATCACATTAACTTAGATCCATTAGTTATGGTTATTTTCATTTCATTGTGTAAATTAAGTTTCTTTATAATACTATTGGCCAGCTGGTAAATCAATACTTCTATTGGCCAGCTGATAAATCAATAATTCTATTGGCCAAATGGTAAATCAATAATTCTATTGGCCAGCTGGTAAATCAATAATTCTATTGGCCATTTGGTAAATCAATAATTCTACTGGCCAGCTCGTAAATCAATAATTCTATTGGCCTGCTGGTAAATCAATAATTCTATTGGCCAGCTGGTAAGGCAATAATTCTTTTGGCCAACTGGTAAATCAATAATTCTATTGTCCTACAGCATTTAGTGGGTGTTTATTTTGATGATGGGTGTAAAAAAACAAATAAAATTAGGCAATTTTTATCATACTGTCTCATGCATTCTTCCCAACTTGCCTTTTATGCTGATAGACAATTGTACTGAACTATTTTAACCATAAAAATTTTGCTTAAAATAAAATTTCATTATTGATGTGCGCAATAGTCTGTGTCCACGGTTGTCAATGTTTGCAATTGAGAGTGTGAAAATTTTTTATCTAAGCATTTGTCGGTGTGTGTTATTTAATATGTTATCAATTGTCAGTGTGCACAGTTATGTCTGTGGATTTTTTCTGTGCACATTTATTTTGTGGGCATATGTCTGGCCACCTAATAATTTGTGGTAGCTTTTTTTTTACACCTTAATATAATAATGCCAATATGAATATCTCTTGTCGAATAAAACTATTATTCTAAGCGGAATCATAAATCAGATTCTCATGAGAAATGTACATTTAATTGTAGAGAGGACCAGAGGTCATTGTGTATTCACATATCATTTGTCATAGCAATCAAGACAGAACTAAACATAGGAATGATGAAAGATCTCCTTGAATGTGCTTGTGACGCCCTGCATGAAGGAAAACATTTCCATATTGGGAGCCAGTGCTTATGGTCCAAACACATGGAATCTGTAAATAGATTAACATCCAAACTTGCAGAGTATCAAATGAAGGAGGTAATTTCATGTCTTTGGTGTATCTAAGAGAACAGAGACAATTTCATATCTTTGGTGTATCTAAGACAGCGGTTCTTAACCTGGGTTCGATCGAACCCCAAGGGTTTGGTGAGTCAGTCTCAGGGGTTTAGCTGAGGTCTAAAAAAAAAAAGAAAAAAATCATATTTTATCTTTCCTATTAAAAAGGGTTCGGTGAAACTGATGTGGTTCCGTACCTCTAACAAGGTTAAGAGCCACTGATCTAAGAGAACAGACACAATTTCATGTCTTTGGTGTATCTAAGAGAACAGACTCAAATTCATAACTTAAGGCATGAAACCTGTAGGAAATTTTTATTCTGTATCATTCTGGAGTTTAAGATCTTTTGTGCCTGTAAATTTTCTAGTACTATGGAACTTTTGTTCTAAATGGAACTTTTGTTCCAAATGTAAAGCATGTTCACACACCCACACCATGTTATTATTATCAACTGTTTAAAAGAGCTGCAGGCATTAAATAGTCAGGCTCAGAGACTTAATTGGTTTTTGAATATTTGAATATTTTTTGTATTTCAGAGAAATAAAGATGGTAGAGTGATGCTTTCTGACCTGCCGACTGACTGCCTGCGCACAATTTTCTCTCAAATCTCAGATCACAAAGATGTTTTAAGGGCTGGACAAACAAGCACCACACTTAATCAGGTGATTATAGAAATTAAATGATGATTATAAAAATTAAATGAAGATGCCATGAGGGATTCTAATGAACAAAACAAGCTTAGATTATATTAGCAGAGTAAACTATTTGATATACAGTGATTAAAGAAGAGTATTAACGTCTTTGCATTCTATTAACATATTTTTAGGTGACAGAAGAAAGATCACTTTGGAGAGACATGTGTTTATACCACTTCAACAATCGCCAAATTCTCACATTTCTACCAAAGCAAACAGATGATGTTGATATAGATTGGAAGAATATCTACAGGAGATGTTACAAGTAATTGAAAAACGATTTTAAATATAATGAAAGTTACAGTAATAAAATAATTGAGTATTTATTAATAATTTTAAAATTATTATATATCTGCAAAAAAATGTTTAAAAAATTATTGTATGTTTCAGACGTTTTGGTAAAAAGGAGACTTTTGCAGACATGCTAGCATTATGTTCGCATTGCTGTGGCATTCATTGGAAGGTAAAACTTGTTCAGTGTTGTTGAAGTAGCAAATAATGATACTAATATATAGTTAAGCTATCTTTTCCTCAAACAGAAAAAAAAGCATGGTCTTAATATCACATTTATATAATAATTTACTTTGTCATGAATCATATAATCTGTTAAAATGTTCATAAAAATACAATAGAATACACTTATAAAAGTAAATACTACATTTAGGCTTTAAAAAAATAACATCATTGGGCCTCTATGAAATATGATAATGTTGCTTTTACAGGGTGTAGTTTAAAAAACAAGTGTTAAAAACTTAAGAAAAATTAAAAACATTAATTAAAACAAAATGTATCTAAACTTAAAAAAAATTATTATTCATGCTTGATAAAATTATGTCTTTAAAATAAAACAATTTATTTTTCAGTCTCTTGGACACCCATGCATTGGGGATCAGCCATTCAAGTGCAAAGATTTAAGTCCAGAAGATTTCCTCTCACTTTTTAAACTTTGAGTTCATTATTTGAATAAATTGTGAAGTTCTTAACAGACAAAAAAGCTGAAGAACAATCCTTTGAAATACCAGTATTACTGAAGCATACTGTTTCCTACTAAGTGTGATGTAAGAGCACTGTCAAAAACATCAAGGTTGCAATGTTTATTTCTTTGTGCATTTTGTCACAGGTTTTGATAGTACGTTTACAGTTTAATTTCCAACTTTTCTAAGTGAATTGAACATTACATGTTTTTTAACATAAAATGCAGCCAGTGTACTTGAGGGAATAAAATGTTATTCTACAATATAACATAAAGATCTAAACTGATCTAAAGATCTAAACTGACATGAAGATCTAAACTGACGTTCCTTTACATGATTATAATTATTTGCCTGTTCTACCATCTGTTTTTAAACACCACTCACTTAATTTATTTTATTATGATGCACCAAATAATTTTCACTATTGATTTTAAGTTAAAAAAAAACAAAGGAAAAAAAAAGGATACAGTTGTTAAGGAACAGATCTTTAATTTTGAACTCCATGTTTGCAGTTGAAATTTCAATTTAAATATTTCTTAGTTTAATACTTAATATGACTTATCTATGTACAAATTGTTATTTTAAAAGTTGCATTTTAAGAAATTTTGTATTTTTTGAAAATCATAGGTAAGTAAACATGACTCATTTACTTGCCAGTTTTGAAAAAGTAACAGTATGCATATAGTTGTGTGATGGGCATTGATGTAGTAAAAAAATATATTTTGTAATATATTTTAATTTATAATCTTATGGCAAATGTACTTATATCATTGTATTTACTCCCTTGATCTGAATTTATATTTATTATTTAGATAAGGACTTTCAGTTGTACATTATTTTTGTTGTGATATATTCACATTTTTTCTGTTCATAGGTGCATTATATTTCTCCACATTTTCACATTTTTTGTCATTTTACTACCACTCATTCTTCATTTAAAGAGATAACAATTATATATCAAGTTTATCCAAATCATTATGATTTTTTTAATTCAAAAGAGAGCTTAGCTCATTTAAGATTATTGGATCTCAATTAAAAAGGTATTTACTATTATTTTTTGTTTTTAAAAGTTAATGTTTTCAAGAAAAGGCACTTTGATTCAATTTACATCTTTAATACATTAAATTTTTTTTTCCTGTTTCTATCATGTCTGATTTTTGTTTTAAGCCAGAAGAACAATGACTCATTATATGCCCCTTTATATTTTTCAATTTATAATTACTTTTTTTACAATGTAATAATGTGATATAAAAGCAAGTTTTGGCAATTAATTATTATTTATGAAAAAAAATATTTTCAATATTTTCAATAGGTTCAAGAATTGAATTTACTTTAATTTAAGTCACAATTTTACTTACTTAAATGGGACTGCATAAAACCAAGAAAGAGCATGCAATTCTTCATTCAATGTTTGGAGGTAGGATTACACTAAATAACAGCAGCAATTATTCAAAGTAATTTCACCAGTTTTGACAAAGCACATGCTGTTAATGAAAAATTTACAAAGAACCAAACAAAAACATTGTATAGAACTTAAAATGTAATGGTTTATTTCTTTAACTGTATGGCATGTTCAACAAAATCTATATTGACACAAGCTATAATATAAGTATTCTTGTACTCCAAACTAAGTCAGTTATAAACTGATTTACGAAGCACTGATTTTTAAAAAAAAAACGACAACTTAAAACATTGATGTCTCAATATATATGGAAAAACATGTATGCTCGACATATTTTCAATACTACTGACATTTCTATTAGATATTTCTTAATCAAAAACTTAATGTATGAAGGTTCAAGGGGTTAAATGTTTTAATAAATACCCCCAATTTGAGTGATTCCCCAGTTGTATTTGATGACTTATTTAACATCTACATATGTGTATTATAATTTTTTTAAGATGTAAAAAGCTGTAAATATTTATTTTCTAATTTGACGTGTTTTGAAACATGCAATTTATTCATCTTATAATGTTCATGGAGTAAAGTTTTAATTAATGCTGACATATTTTATTTCTGAGTAATATTATTTTTAGTATTATTTAGCCTTTGTTAACGCTGAGTGAAAACATAAAGGATGAAAAACTAGTCAGAGGTTGAGGTTGTCAAAGAAAGAACAAGAAAATATGCCACGTGTAGTCTAAAATACTCAAGTTCATTCCTTGACAGGTAAACAAATGTGAAAGTTAGGGTGACTTAAACTAAAAAAATACCAATAATCAAAATGCTATCAGAAATCCTCCCTTTTTATGCGATTTAAACAAGAGTGCTTCCTAGTCATGCTAGATCAAAGTGTGCTTTAATGTGGCTTTGGTGCCTCTAAGTATTACTACTTTGCTGGGATTGTATTACACATGTAACTGTCTAAATTATGTTCGACTCTATGTGTTGTGCAATTTTTATTTGAACCACTGTGATGATACAAGGAGGCATTCCACCATTGCTGTACATTTTACACAGAAATGCAATGCAATAAGATTTTGAGTAGTTACTTGTGTGTGATAAAGATATTCCCATTTAACAGTGGAAATGACTTATTTCAAGAAGGTTCAACTATCAAAATCTTGTTTTGAATGTGCTAATGGAATCTTGGAGACATTGCTTTTTAGCAAATATTTTGTGATTATCAGTTATAGTCTTTTAAATGATTTTTCTCATTTAAAAGACATGTGATATGGAAAGAAATGAATAAAACATTCTAAAATTGCCTAAACAATTTGTGTATTTTTGATCTTGTGTTTAAATAATTAGTTAGATTTTAAACAAATTGTTTCAACAAATTGTAAATTAAAATATGTTAGACATTTTTTATAGCTTACAAATTTGCATTTGTTGTTTAAAGCTGTTTGAAAAACAAGATGCAATAGAGGACCATGAGGCTCAGGAAACAGTTTCTACCCTGCTTGTACCTTACTGACCTTCAACTGTTTGATTGGCCGAAATTAATGTAAAGATAATTTTTAAAAAAAATAGACAGGCATAGTTAAAACGATGTAGGTGAAATGAAACAAGCGTAACTTCCTGAATGGTTCAAGGATTAGAAATTCTGCAATTAAATTCTGCGTTTAAATACTTTTTTTCCGATTTTATAAACATTCCAAGTGCTCTAAATAGTAAGATTGAAAATTAATTGATAGGGCTTTACATACTCACGTAAATATATTAAAATGGTCTGGAAATACATACATAAACAATCGGATAATAATATTATACATACTAATACTTCGCATATATATATATATATATATATATATAATTTATATATTTATATTCCTTGAGTTTATTTTATGAATCTTTCATTGAAAACTTAATTAGCTCATTTACATAAAATGAACTATGACTAAAGTTTATGACTTTAATACTTTAATTGAAATTATACAATAATAAGGAGAAAAGGGAATAGATAAAAATGCTTTAAAGGGAGACGACGAGAAATAAATGTTGGCCACGTAGGGGAAATAACAATTAAAATTCCATTGAGCAAAACGGTAGAATAAAAAGTTTGATTTGTGTCAACAATGACATAACTGTAGCGCCACCTGACGGGGGAGCAATAGTTAAGTTATCAGTGGAGTGTTGAGTGTTGAGAGAAGTCAATGTGTTATTCGTACTGTGCTACTTGGTATTAGTAAAATATATTTTTTCAATTCGGGGATAAGTTGTTTTTTTCTTTCTAGTGACCAGTGTAAACTTATGTTGGCTTGCTATTGGATATAACAACATGTGATCAGTTCTATTTAAATAAAGAAAAGGTTAGTTGATTATTAAAAAAATAACTAATTTTACTAATCTGATTAATTTGTAATAAAATATATAATATAACTGTGCATTATAGTGTAAGCATAAGTAGACGACTCAGCTACTATGATCTGTTTCGGCACTAAGTAAGAGTAAGAGTCTCTGTTTTAGTAAAACTACATAAACTTTTTTCCTGATTATTTTCTATTTATCCCCCCCCCCCCCCAAGACTATTAATTCAGAATCAGAAGTAGACCATAATTAGAATCACCTGACTTGTATCTAATTGATAAATAGAAAATTATTATGTTTAACAATTTTTTTCCTGATTATTTTCTAATTAACCCCCCCCCCCCAAGACTATTAATTCAGAATCAGAAGTAGACCATAATTAGAATCACCTGACTTGTATCTAATTGATAAATAGAAAATTATTATGTTTAACAATTGACTATACTATACTTATACTATACTGCAGAACCTAGGAAACAATAGTAATAGTAATAGCTTGTTTTTAGCGTTTAAGTTTTCTAAAAAAATAGACTAATAATTAAATTAATGAATATATCAATTGTTTCCTATGTTAATTTTTAATGAATTATAAAAGGGAAGATTTTGTATGATTTGCAAAATAAAAATAATGTAGTCTAAGGCCAGGCTTTGACTTTCAAATTTTACTTTGTGTCTAACAATCAAATGTTTAGAAATTATTTCCTGTGCTACAAATACCGCGTTTTTTGTAGGTTGTCATGGCAATTGTCAAGCAGTTTAAAAATGGAATGGTTAAGTAAAAATAGGCTTTCGCATTTTATAATCAAAATATAAAATATAATCAATCATATGTTACAGTAGGATATGTTCAAATTTATTAAATATTATTATCGAAATGTATTCTCTAAATTTTAGGATTATTTAATAATGGTTTATTTATTATTTTTCATATTTCAACATTAATAAAAACAACAACTTATAGTGGGCCCTAATACTAATGTTATAATTAAATTAATTAATATTAGCCTAGTTCTATTTTATATTTATTTTAAATTATATTAAAATTAATAATATCATATCATAGACATAGATGAGACCCAGGACTGATTTTAAGGTAAAACTTAAATTAATTGTTAAAAATTGCTGAATGTATACTTATCTTATCTTATATAATCTTAGCATTTACTTGATTAATATTCGAAATATCTAATCTAAGGTAATAAAATAAAAATATACTTGAACTTGTTAATTGGATTTAAAGAATTAAGAAATAAAAAAGGAATTTCATAGTCATAATCATATGAATCATTTAAATTTATACTGTTAAGTCATATTATTAATGTGTTACTGTACATGAAAAACTAATTTATTAAACAATTATATTCCCTTTTACTATGCATTAAAATATAATACTTATAATAAAATACTGTCAATCACAAAGTTGACTAAGTCAGTAGGTGAATCAAAGTTAGCTTTAATTACATCTCTTAATCTTAATAATAATAATTTTGTACTTCATTAATTATTTCTTAGGGACATAATCTATAGTAGTATAGGCTATAACTGTGTAATTGTAATGTTCATTTGCTCTGTTTACTTTTAGTCAAGTTTTTAATTATGACAAGAGCATTTTTTACGAAACTGTTTTGGCTCTCATGTAGCCTACACTTTACATTAAGATAATTAATGAATTATGTCACAAATTGTTTAATTTTAGCACATGGAATGCTAAAAAAGGTATACTAAATATGTTGTAAAACTACTGTTCCCCATGTGCATTCTTTCATTCAAACTAGTGCTGTTTAAAATGGGAAAAATACCAAATTTAATTTAAAAAATTAATACCATTCACAAATTTGAAACAATTATTTACCATACTCATTTTTTTTTAAGGCTGCACTAAGTTTTAAATTTTATAACACATCTATACAAATTAGTTAACCCAAAGAAGTATAAATATATTTATCACACGCGAAATTAAAAGTAATAATAATTTCCAAATAAATAAATTTATATGGACTTACACTTACATCCAATAGTAAACATTGTGTCCAGTGTTATTGGAAGGATGGGATGAATAATTTCTATTATAATTTCAAATTAAATTTTGAACTAAAAGATTGGTCTAATTCACCATGATAATAATGTGACAATAAAAGGGAAGTTTAGAAAAAAGGGGGAGGGGTGTGATGGGTTGGGGGGGGGTGAGATTCATGTTGACCTGCAAACTTAAAGCTCTCATCATGTCACTAGTTTTTGAGGTATTATCATTGAAAGCTGATAAGAAAACCCCACTGTTAGTATCACCACTGTGGTCTTGCACTGAAAAAAAAAAGAAAAAAAAAAGTTGAGATTTTAGTTGCATTTGTGAAATAGTTATTTTTTCTTTCTTAAATGAAGGAAGATTTAGTTGGGATAACAGTAACAGGCTTTGATTTGTACTTTGACTGTAGCTCGTATCACCTCATGATGACTTGTATCACCTCATGATGACTTGTATTACCTCACAATGACTTGTATCACCTCACAATGGTGAAATTTAAATAATAATCAATAAATGGTCTTAAATTTATAATTTTTTACTATAGAATAATGCGACCTAGAACACTTCAGAATAGTTCATGTAACAAATGATGGATTTGAGTGTTATTAAAGCATTATTTAACAGTTGTGCACACATGCCTGCACATCATAGTTTTCTCAGCTTCAGGATAAGTATAGAAATTAACGTTTAAAAAAAGACTTGAGCATAAAGTTTCTGCACCTCTTCCACATAGGAAATTTTACGCAAATAACCAAAGTTTACAGTGTCATTCTCCACACATTTACTTCAACTTTAAAAATACAATTAATTGTATTCATAGTGGTTACTTGAGGTTGCATAATGCTTGTTCTTTTGAGTTTGCTTGCCTGAAAATTGGACCATGAATGTTCTTAAGATAAAAATTGGTTGGGATTAAACAGGGATAAATCATTGGCTAATTCCTTACCAAAGGTGGATTCAAGAAGAATACAAACTTCTGACCTCAATCCAGTAAAGAATATCTGAATTCAGTGTCACATCCTTGAGTGAAACAAAGCATTTACCATGTTGAATGTATACAAAAATAATCCTGACATTGCTAGGCCTAGTCCTCTTCACATAATAATGGAGATAATGGATTCTATTGTGCTATGGAGAGCATTTTATTCACTCATTCAAATGGAATTACGAACTGCATTCTTTAGATATGCTTGTGCTGTCATTTTTAGAGAAAGTGTGGCATTGTGGAATGAGGCAAACAAGACAAGTGGAGATATTTATTTTAACCAGTGGATTCTCTTCACAACGATCAGTAAGGCAGTCAAAGGGTTACAACAGTGATATAGGCATATTTTTTGAAAACATTCTTAGGATTACTTTTGATAGGGAAATAAATTTGAGGATTAAAATGCAGTGAGACATAACTGCATAGGTCTTGCAGTTCCCAAGCATTGTATAAAGTATTTATTGTGTTGTGTCTACTGAAGTTTTTTTTTTATTCTGTAGTATCTCTTAATGGGTTTTTTATTTTGTAGTGTCTACTGAAGTTTTTTTTTTATTGTGTAGTGTCTACTGAAATTTTTAAATTTATTTTGTAGTGTCTACGGAAGGTTTTTTAAAAATTCTGTAGTGTCTACTGAAGTTTAAAAAAAAATTATGTAGTGTCTACTGAAGTTTTTTTTTATCGTGTAATGTTTACTGAAGTTTTTTTTTATTGTGTAATGTTTACTGAAGTTTTTTTTTTTTTTTTGTTGTGTTTACTGAATTTTTTTTTTTTTTTTTTTTTTTTTTTTTTTTTGTAGGTTTTTTTTTTTTTTGTTTTGTTTTTTTTTGTTTTTTTTTTTTGTGTTATGTTTTTTGTTGTTTTTTTTTTTTTGTGTTGTGTCTACTGAATTTTTTTTTTTATTATGTTGCCTAGTATTTACTGAAGGTTTTCTTTTTATTGTGTAGTGTTTACTGAAGGGTTTCATTAAAAAAAAAGATATTGATCATTTGGCTTTTAGTAAACATTTTATAAAAATAAGAATCTTCATTACCTTTTGGTGAACTTTGAAAAT